GCGCTACGAGAGCTGTAACAAAGAAAGCAGCAAGCGGCGCAAATCGTGGGGCACGTTGCAACACACAAGTTGTTTCCTGCCGGTCGGGCGGTTCAAAGGGGCTGAACTTGCGCTGCTCCCTTCCAAATCGCCTCCGGCCTCGCTGCCGGCGGGGAAAAAGGGTCTCAACTTGCCATGCGCCCGACATACCTCTCCTAGCGCTGAAAAAAACACAGCCCACAAAGGGATGGAGGTTAGTGTACGCGTGCACGCGCGGGCCGTGCCAAAGAGCGCCTGACTTCCCGGCTGCCAAGCCGGCCGGGATTGCTCCCCCCTGCTCCCAAGAGCTCGCCTGCACAGGCGAAGTCTGGCTTTCATGGTTCAGCTCTGGGACTTCCATCCTTTAACTGCAGCTATGCGTTTTATTTTGGAAGCGGTCGTCGTGGGTGCCTTAGAAGCCCACAGCTCTCACCAGTGCTCCAAGCACAGCTCACAAAGAACCCAGAATAACTGGGGTAAAACTAACATAACATTTTTCATTGCATGACAGAGTCATTAATTGCAAACAACTTGAAGAACATCCCAGTCGCTTGCAAACAGACAACAGGCCTCATTTCGCTGAATGAATGATTTGTTACAAACTGTTTGCTCAGCATTTAGCTATTAATTCAAGCTGCTGGCTTGCCCGAAACAAGCTTATCTTTCCATAGCTGTTGCATGTCTTTAATAAAAGAGCTTTGCCTGATTAAAAAAAAAAATTGCAAGACTGGTGGATGATAGCCATCACTTGCAAACCCTGCAACGTTAATATCCTTTAAACGGTCTTTCTCTTATCAGCTAGACCTGGGCTTTGTTTAGACGCCCTAAGAAGTAGCATGCCCCCAAGATAACTTAACTCCTGAACTGTTTGGTGTGGTTTGGGTGGCTGAGCTGATGGTGTCTGTATTTCTGCGCTGTCGATGGTGTCTCTGTGTCTCTCCCATTAGCTCGGTGCTGGCTATTTGGAGCCGGGCTGCTGGTGCGGGGCGGACAGAAGTGGTGCTGAGTACGTCCACATCAGGGTGAGGGCTTTTCGCCCCGTCCGACCTCTCCTCGGAGACTACAGGCCAATGTTGGTTTCATATCCGGACCTGCTGTACCTTGCCACCATCTAGTGGCAGCTGAGCTATAAAACGTGTGTCTGGAAAGGCACGGCGAGTCCGACGTCGCCGGCGGCCGTATCCATTAGCATTCAGTTTACAGCTTGCTAGCAGCATATCACAGCTAGTGCGTTTGGTTTGGGGTGGATTCAGGGAGCCAGACGTGGCTTTTCCATCCTGGACCAGGCAATACAGCAGTACTTGCTCTTTGCGGGTGCAGTGGGATATGGGACGGCCACTGCCGGTGCCAAAAGGATCGAGACTTGTGCCTCCAGCACAGCTCTCGGGATCGGGTTTCCTTTTCCTCCGCTGCCAGAGAGCTTTCTGCCACCGCACACACGCTGCATTGAGCTGGGAGACTAAATCCCAGCTAGTGACTGAGTCCGGAGTTTTTAAGCTGGCCTGTTCGGGAACTCCCAGCGGCTCTGGGTTTGCTTGAAGGAATTTGTCACCTGCCGTGAGACCAGAGCTGGGACACGAGGTGTTGGGGCATGAGCGTAGCACCTTCAGTGGGATCGGGTACCCGGAGCGAACGTGCACGTCAGCAGTCCCTGAGCGCTGCTTCCACACACGTTTTTTGCCAGCCCGGCATCGGTTAGGCTCCGGGGCCCCGGATGAACGCGGCATCCTGGGCACGGCTGCCAGCCAAAATGCCAGAACAATGAGCAAGAGAAAAGCCTGTTGCGAGGCAGGTGGGGAATGGCATTCACCTCTCCCCAAAAATGGTCTGAAAAAATTCCTGCCTGCTTTGGCTTCGCTGTTGTTGGTCCCCAGCTTGGAAAGCGAGGTGGGTTTGCCCCCGCTCACGGAGATCATCTGCATCAGGGCTGGTTGCTCCACTGCATGTTAACTGCAAGCAGCACACCGGGTGTTTTGAGATGGGTCCTAAAGAAAACGCAGGCGCTGCTTGCAGGCTGCGTCGCTGGGTTTACGAAACACCCATCGTCCCCCAGCAGATGAGGGGTGGTGGGGGGGTTGTTTTGTTTTGTTTTGTTTTTTAATTTAAAACCATCCTGCTGCTTCCCTCTGCCTTGGGCATCGCCCTGCCCGCCAGGCCGGGGACGCGGCGCTCGGGGCTCTGAGACCTGCGGGGCCGGAGCAGCCCCCGGAGACTGATGTTCTTCTACTGGGGCCCCCATTCGGGCACCAGATGTTGTCCACATCTGAAGAATAGCTGCAAAGAGGCTAAAATGCTAATATAAGGCAGGAGCCGAGTAGGTGTATTTTTTAACTACCCTCTTCTTTTAACCACCCTCTTCAAGCCTTTCAGGCACCAAGAGGAAGATCGGAGGGTGAAGGAGTTGCTGGACGTGTTTGACAGCCACAGGGGGCTTTTAGTGCCTGGCGAGCCCCTTCCCTCGGCCACAAATACGGCAGTCCCAAAGCCCCCAAATCCTTGGGGTTTTAGTAAAAAAAAATTAAAATATGTATTTTATTCTAGTGCAAACTAACTTGCAGACTTTTCCGAACTAAACATATTTTAATTTTTTTTTTTTTTAATAAAACCCCAAGGATTTGGGTGCTGGGCTGCTAAACACAAATGAAGGCTGGATCCCTGCCCCTGGGACTAGCAAGCACTTGTCTTCTGACCTTTGGGTTGGTGACTCAATAATATCAGCCGCATATAAAGACTGCTGGGGAATCCAAAAGCCAATAAATATAATCCTTGTCATAGCTATAAATTAGAAACTATACAAATTGTCTCATGAACTGAAATCCATGTTTTGTCTCCATCGTTTTAGCAGGGCATTTAAATACATAACTCTGCTTCCCATATTGAAAATGCTGAGGTGGGAAGTTAGCTGATTAAAGAACACGTTGGACTTCAAGCGCTGCGTGGTGCTGACTGTGAATAATCAAGGCACACAGGGATCTTTCAAATCCTCAAGCAAAAAAAAATTCAATTAGATGGAAGCGATTCAATTATGCTTTAAAAGAAACCTGGCTAGAAGCATGCGGCTATGGCAGGAAAATGTATGCAAAAGGATTTCATGGAAAGAAGCAATTATTTTATCACTAGGCCTTCTAAAGCAAAATTTGCTCATCAGTCCCAAGCTGGAGCCCAAATAACTGCACCTCTTAAGAAGACAACACGTGAACTAGGATGGATTTGGGCAGAGCATCAGGGATGAGAACCTCAGGCAGGCTTAAATAAGTTTGATTAGTTTCTGTGCCGTTATCATGTGAGGTTTTGGTCCAGTGACTTCATAGTATTTGGTCTTGGATCATGGCTGGTCTAAAAGGAACAGAAGACTTCTGCAGCAAGCACATCCCAATCCTAATTAATTAAGGTAAAGTTTTGGAAATTGAACTGATCTTGAATCTAAAGATGCTTGTTGTTCCTCTCCCCTCCTGGCATCTCTGCACAATGTTAGGCCCAAGAAAAAAGCAAAGGGACAAGTCAAACACTTTGCAAAAGAACACAGACATTTAAATTTAATAAATTATAAAATTAAAGATTCTAATTTGTATATACATTTTTAATATACACGAAATGGCTATTTATTGCAATTTCTGTTAAGGCATATGTAAGTGAATGGAAGTCACATATAGATATTCAGATGAACATAGCTAATACTGTGCATTGTAGGTGAGTAAATAAGATATAAAATGCATTACATAATAAAATAAAACATAAAACCCTTTGAGTACTGGTAAAGCACCATTTATAGAATTCTCAAAATACCTGAAAGCATCTATGTAGCTACTGTGAGACTCTAAATATTGAATGGATATGTTAATAGAAAAAGTGATGCATTCATAAGAGATTACAGAATTTTTTAAAGGAATGTGACTGAAAAAAAATAGAAGTAGATTGGAGCCAAAAGAAATAACAGAATTGGTTTGGGATTTTTTTCTTTTTTCTTTTTTTTTTTGTGAGGGGCTGACACCTGGATTTTAAGCTTAGACAAATAGAAAAATGCTAATTTAGAAAGCTGTGTAGTTGTACGGTTGGATGAGCATATATCAGAAAATGCATTGCTCAATGGGACTACATTGCTGTAGCTCTCAGATTAAGCAGTGTCTGCAGGAATTTAAATCGATTTGCTTATAAATCTGCTTTCTTTAGCTTTTGGAAACTAAGTTAAATTAAAATACGACTCTCTGCTCATTATGTCTCAAAATGCAGTACCTGGGCAACAGCATAATGGTTAAAGAAGGCAAACGACGACGATGCTTTTGCCCAATTACAGCACTGTACGAAAGAGGAAACAGTTGTCTAAAGTTCAGCTGACTAGCAAGTGACCAAAAAAAATTCCATGGCAGGAGAAGGACCAAAGCACAGCCGTGAGCAGCCCCCGCCTCCACTGCTTTGTATTACTTTTTCTGAATCAGTAGAGCTCTGCTCTGGGTTTTCAGCAGGGTGGCATGGTATACTGTCTTAGGAACCCATCTTCTTGAGGAGCATCTCAAAAACATCTTCTGACATACGAAATCAGCTTGAAAAGCTTTCCTGGTATGAGGAAAGACTTTTTTTTTTTCCCCTCGCTCAGGAGGACTGTATGGAGAAGGCAGCTGGTGGCCGTGTGCGGCAGGGAGACGGGCCAGTCTGTGCCCACCAGCTCCTCAGTCTTCAGCAGTCTAATGTGAAGCTTCCCTTTCACATGTGATTCCAGTGTTCCCCAAGTAACAGCTAGAAAAATATTCAGAAGAATATTCAGAACAGCTAGAAAAATAAGTCAAAAGTAAAACAAATCATATCCTCCAACAGGTGAGACTGAAAAAGGAGCAAGTCTTCCCCAAGTGCGGATGCTGTTCGGCCTTGAACCAGGGCGCTGATGACCACTGTACGGAGCCTAGCCCCAGACCAGCTTTCTGAGAGCCTGCTCCAGTGCCGCACGCAGCACAAGTTTCCATCTCGACTGGCACAATGCTTTTGGTTTGTTTGACTGAGAACTGACTGCAGAGAGAGCAAAGTGTCCCAGTTACAAACAGGTTTCCGGACATCGTTGAAGCTTTGCAAGTTCAGCCAGTGGTGTCCACACTGCGCAAGAGCTAACCCTCGTGGGTCACCCCTCGTGCTGGGGCTCTGACATGCCCCGGGGCCATGGCCACTGTGTGACACTGCTTGAAATATACAGAACTGCCAAATTCCTTTTAAAGACTGGGTGGCAAAGGCAGAGCAAGCCTTTTGCCATGGTGTTTGCAGACAGGTCACTTGAAGTTGCACTAAAATTGCCTTCCCTGCTTGCTAACTTAAAAGTCCTTTGGAGAGACCAGCCTATTGTAAGGCAGGAGTGTTTCAACCGTGGGCATTTCTCACGTGGCATTTCTTTGCATTCCCTCCTTGGGTAAGCCTATTCCAGATATTAAAGAAGAAGAGAAGCTATTAGATGGGGTATCTCAGGCTTCTGAAGGTGGAGGAGCGGATCTCCATCAAGTTCCAGAGAGTAAAACAGGGCACCATCCAGGCAGCAAACTTCTACCAACTCCTGAGCCAACACGGGATCAGAATGAGAGACTAAACGTTTAGTAAAGAGCCTACAGCAGAGAGCCCTCGGGGAGCCTGCGAAGGGACAGGGAGGAGTCGCAGAATATATCAGAAACAGAAAGGTAGGAGAGCTAAAGGGGTTAGTAGCCACCTGCACAACCCTGAGCCATAGCCCTTCTCTGTCCTTGGGTTTGGTTGTTTTTTTTCCCCTTAAGTTTATCACATGCTTGGATGTGCTTCTAGGCAACTTAAAGTCTTGGGGTTGTGGTTTATTTTTACTGTCCCTAGACCTAAAGGCAGGATAATAACCTGAAGAGGAAGAGATGAGTTTTTACACTAATCACATCTGTGCAAGGGAAATGTGGAAAGCAAGAAATACTCAATGTACCCACATGCTGTGAGCCCCAGTACAGCTTGCTGGTCTCATGGCTAGATTTTTATGTGCAGCAGCTGGAATGGTGTTGCTTTAGCCACTACTTACCTATAAATAGCACGCAAATAGCACCCTTCAGTGCGCGTTACTACATTGCTCTGTTTTACACAGGTGTGACCTGACCCTGCACTGTCACTGAAACTTGTCGTGACTGTAGGCAGCTGCAAATCCCTCCGCATGAAGCTGCTGCTCACTCTGGATCAGTGCTGGGCTCATCTGCGCCTCATGGTTCGGTAGCAGCAGGCACCTACGGAACGGGGCTGGGGGCAAGCGAAGGCTCCTATAGGGGCAACGAAGCAAACTTCACCTGTGGGAAAATGCTGAATGTCCCCCTAGTTGTACTCTGAGTCTGCTGTGCTCTTCTCTCTGCAGCTGCCCTAACGTACCTGCTGCTCAATACTGCTATGCTGTGGGGCTTTAATTTTACTTTTTAAAACCAAAACACATTACTTTGCATTGCAGCATCCTTCCAATAACTGTTAGAGCAGGTTAGTGTAGAACAGGAACAGGAGATCCTGCCAAGTCAGCTCAGAAGGGCTGGAGGTGTCCATGTGTCCCTGGTGCTTGCACTGTCTACTGCTCTCACGTCTGGTGACATGTCCGCTGGAGACTGAGCGATCTCGGCCCAGGAGACATTTCTTAGCTCTCTTGATAACTCCTGTCATGCTTCCCGTTCTTCGTGGTCTTCAGTATAACTCCCATCACTGTATTGTCTGAGCTGCTCCAAAACACTCATCCGAGTGTATCACCATGCGCCTCTGTAAGAAAGGCAAGTTGAGGTTGTCACACCATCTCAACACGTTCCTTCTCTACTTTGGCTAGTACGTCCGTGAGTTATTTCTGTTACATCAGGCTCCTGTCCTTCAAAGATTTCTGGCCACACAGCTCAGGCAGCACGTCTGACATTTCAGTGCTGCAAAGACTGCTTTTCCCGCATGCTCCCTCCTTCTCTTTTCCAGCTGAATCGGCATGTTTTGAAGTGGAAACAGGGTAGCCCACCGAGCCATGACGTTTGCTGGCCAAAGCCAGGGCCCAGGCTGGCAGTGGGAAGCTGCACATGGTTTGCTTTGCAAGACTTCAGGAGCTCCTTGCCAGCAGCTGTGCCATATAAGAGCTTACATGTTGCTGGAAATATAGCACCTATCCAACAATCTTGTGATGATATACGCTCATAATTGGCTCTGCTTCAAATGAAGAACAGCTCAGGCTAACGAAAAGGCTGGAGAATGAGATGTTCTTGCACTCAGATTGAAATATTTGAAATAATGCTGGTACCAAATACTGGAAGGCAGGATCTTCCTGACACTCCCAAACCTCGAACACAGATCGACCCTGAAGCAGAAGAGCCAATCTGAATTTGTCTCCCAATCTCCAACCAGGAATGCAAAATTATCTATGAAAATCATGGTGACCCTGAGGGGAAACAGCGTACTCAAAGGGTTGTCGGGTTACACATCTTTAAGTTTCTAGCAGACCTGGTACCGTGAGTATGCGCGTGTGTCTCTGTGTGTGTGTGTGTGTGTGTGTGTCTATGTGTAGGTGCACAGTGAACAACTGCTCACTTTTGCACTGATAAAGCTCTCCTAAGGAAAGGAAGATAATATGAAACAATTTCCTCCAAAATAACCTTGAACTACAGGAGGAAAAAAAAAAAAACAAAAAACAACGCTTTCTTCACAAAGCACCAAAGAAAAGGCAACAAGAATCCAGTCATTTTTTAAATTAAACAGCACGTGGGTAGGAAAAACCAAACAAACCCCAAAAAAAAAGCACCAACCAACCAAGATCACTGAGGTTGTTGCATTGCAGGAGCTTAAAGACTATCAAAAAATAAGGATACTTGTAAACAGAAAGACTAGGATGTTGTCAGTCCACGTTGGCTGGATCTACCCTAATACTAAGTGTCCCACACATATTCGATTGTTTAGGAGAATGCTTTGAGATTGTTTATGGAAATATGCAAACTACTGGTTGTCAGTTTTTTAATTTACACATAAATATATGGCTACATAATTTTCTAAATATTTCCTTATGCAGACCTGGGTAAGAAAGCTACGTAAGCACATGCCTAGCCCTAGCCACGCGAGCAGCTCTACTGAGGCATGTAGCCTGGCATGTCCTTCAGCACCTTCCTGAACCAGGGCTGAGTTAGTGCCCGGGTTTGTGCAATGCACAGGAGCATCACAGGAGGGCTGACCACCTGCTTGTCACGGTTAAGGGGATTGATTTCGTCTTGGGACTGTTTTCCTCCATCCTAAATGTAACACCCAGTACTATTCCCAAGCAGTTTTACACAGGCATAGAAGAATTAGAAGAGCCCATAAACTAGAAACCTGCTAACCTGGCCTAGGTATTACAGTTTGTTTGGATTCAGTGAAATGCTGTAATGATATTGCACTAATACTCTACCGTACCCTGTAAACCTAGCCATCAAAGTGTTTAGATTAGCACTTTTGAAACAATCTTTCATTCCCATTTAGAGTAGGCTTTAGAATTTGGCATTTCTGCCATAGCACCGCTTTGATTTTCCCCATTTTTCGTCTCTATGACATGGGCAGTACTATGATATTGGTACCATCTCTATAAGAGAAAAATGTTGTTTGTGCCATATTTCCACTCTAGTTTATTTTTCTAAGAGTCTCTTTTTTCCTTTTCTCAGCAATCAGCTCCTGAATTCTTTGATTCCTCGTCCTTTCATAAGGTATCCTCCTCCGGGTAATGATGTTGTGCTGCGATACTTCATTATCCAGCCCGTCAATCTTATAGGGAACATCCACCGCATTAACTTCTGGGTGCTCCTCAGTTGCATTGGAAAGAGGCGCATTTGTTTCGGAAACGAGAGGAGGACTGGTGGCAGCTTGTGTGGTGGAAACTCCCACGGGAGTGCTGAGGGTTGTCAGGAGCTCTTCCTCAAGGACATTATTCTTATTTATGTTAGACTCGGTTACGTTGTCGTCCTCCGTTATGTTGTTGTACATGTTACAGGACTTGCAACACAGCTTATTGTAACCAGGAATCGAACAGTAACGCGAGAGAACTTCCATGCGACAAAACATTGACTTGTCTCCTTGACAATGATCTTCTGCAAGAGAAAAAGGGAACAGATAAATAAAGAGCATCTTGACATTAATCAGAAAAAGAAACACAACTGAGGCTCTGGCAATGGGCAGAGGGCTTGATATGTAAAGTGGGATGGGAAACTGGCAAACGAGCCCTCTAGAAGTAGAAGCAGGCTTAGTATTAAACCTAAAACTTGATTCACTTGAATGGACGCAAAACCTGATCTGAATTCTGCATATCAGCCCCATGTGTACTACAGACCTGAACAGCTCAATTTTTGGCTTTGCGTTCTGCAAAATTGCGCTTGAGGAGAGCGCAGCCACGATGACGTGTGCTCCTGCCGTGGCCTGACGTTCAAAACACGCTAATAGTGCTGTGTTGTGGCCAAAAGCTACGTTAATCCCCCAGAAAGCGACCTGGGTTTATATTAATAAGCCTTATCTTTTCCGTTACGCCTTTTAACACAGTCGAACAGCGACTAACCTCAGTCAGGCTTTATTTATGTATATAAACCCCTCTGAGCCTACGTGAATTGTGTAACTCTCAGAATTTAATCCATTTCCCATTGGAGGGACTATTTTTTTCAGTCTCTAGTCTGAAAAGGGTGGCATTGCGAGGGCATGCCTCTCGCTTGTGAGAAAAGTGGTCTATTTAGCATAAAGCTTTTCTGCCCCTCCTCGAAGGGAGGCGGTACGACAAACTCAAGTGGGACAGGGCCAAGGCAGTCCAGTAACGACTGGCAGACTCAGTGCAAAGTCCTGATTTTTGTGTCACTGAGTGAAAAACTGTAATAAAAGGGAACGAATGATAATCCATAGGCGTGAAGCTGTCAGTTGCTGTTGGGACAATCTGTTCTTAATGCATGACAATACAGGTATTATGCCAGAGCCTGAGCTTGCTGAACTGCATATGGTAAAACGTAGGGAAAGGTATTAAAAGGAACTGGCTATATTGTTTTATTTGCTGAGAAACATTAAATGAAGCTGAATCAGAGATTACTCAAGCGCTTATGATTTCTGCTCAGAGCAGGCAGAGAGAACCACATGAATAGGTGGCGGATGGATGCTAAAGGGTTAGTAGTCCCCTTGGGGGGAAAGCTACCTGTCCTCCAGCCTACGTGCAGGCTCTATAGCTTCTGTTCCGCAAAACAGAAGTGATGGAGCTGGGAACTGCCAGGAACTGCAGTAAGGCAAAAGCCCAACACGCAGCCTCCACTGCAAGCAGGAGGGGTCAGAGGGCTGGAGAGGAGACGGCAGCACTGAGGAGAAAGGCAGAAGGCTGACCAACGCTTGGCATAATTAGCGACACAAAATAATCACTTCCGCCCTCCTGTTGCCCTTACTAAATCTCCACCTACTCGAACGGTAAAAGATGCGTAACTCCAGTTCCTCGCCTTTTTGCAGAGCATACCTGCCCAAGTAGCGCATGTTTCGCCATTCTGCTGGGAGCGCTGACTTACAGCCAGCGACCTCGCAGCAAAGCAGAGAACCAGAGCACATTCAGAAATATTAAGTGACCTTGGAAAGCGCAGGTGTCACCTCTTCACTCATCCTCAGTTAACAAAATAGGGCATTACAGCGTTATAGGTGTTTAATTGGCAAACATATCAGTCTAAAATAAACTAAGTTATCGCTGCTGCTTTAAAATTCTAGCGTTGACCGATGGAGTTGAAAAATCCTTTTCTTGCATTCTATTCATGCCTCATGCAGTTGTTGCAGAAAAGCAAGACTCTGGTTCTTGGTTTCAAATGTGTCATTTTCATCGTTTTTAAATGCTAAAGTGAGATGCTGCCAGAAAAAAAAAAAACCCAACTACTTCCTCAGAACCTCGGAATAGTAACTGGCTTTGGGACAAGTTTTCAGACCAGCCATTAAGAACTGGAAACTGTAAGTATCTGCATGCACAGCTCTATGCAAAAGGACTACACGTCCCTATACAGCTGAATATATGCTTTATACACCATGTAGTGGCCTCTTTGAACATTTTGCCTTGTGTTCCAGTGCTTTAATGCAAGCTTTTCTAAATGGCTTGCAAAATTAGAGCCAAGAGGTATCATATTTAAATGTAGTTTCAGCAAGGCAGATCTGCTCTGGGCTATGTAAGAATAGCTAAAAGCACCTTTAGAAAAATGCCTTTTTTCTATCAAAAATATGTAAAATCAAGCCTAAAAATATATGAGAATCCAACTGCATTATGTAATATGTTTAGTGACATCTGATAAGTTATATAAATAAATCTTCAACTTTGCAACTTATGAATGTCAGAATGAAATTTTTATCCTCTATCCAAACCAAAATATCCAGATTTGCTGAACTTTTATTTATTTTTACTTGCAGTATGCATGACAGATTGGAAGTATATCTTCAAAACATCAGTAAGAAAAAAATAAATCAGTTTCACAGTCACTTTGGTACACATTAGTCTCATAAAAAAATATTGAAAAGCAAACTGAATTGGCACATCTTTAATATTATGTTAAATACATACAAAACACTAATAAAATATCCCTGATAAACCAAAGTGCATATAGACATAGTGCACAATGCCCAGATACCTTATTGCACCATTCTCTATAGCCACCCATCTCTTGAAACATCACTAAACATTTGTCTATTTAAAGTTAACAGTCATGAATATATTTATACAGTTAAACACCGATTATTTTACATAACAGTATTCAGTGCCAGATACGTGTCTTTGCTTTTTCATCTTGTCATGTAAATTGTTAACATGTTTCAGGAAATTATCATATTAACAGCAAAATTTAAATATGTGATCACATGATAATGACAAGTTTGAAGTGCTACGCTGTTGAAGATCCAAAGATTCAAAAATGCCACCTTTCTAAAGAATACGATCAATGCAATAAGGTTGTAATTTGCTCCAAGACTGCTGTTTAAAAACTGATATGCTTCTACTATTACTGAACGTCACAAACAGTTGTATGATTTGTGAACTCCAAATCTTCAACACAAACACGTAAGGTGAAGCAACAATGCCAGTTAAAGTTCAGTAAGTCAGGTAACCATCTCATCTTTATGGAGATACGGATATGCACTGTGCAAATTAACCTTGGATTAAATTTACTGCCTTCTAACAGCTATCATTCAAGTAAAAACACTCCATATGAAGATTAACTCAAGGTACCAGTGTACTGTTTAAAGCTGGATCTGGTAAATTAATGCCATTTACATTTCAACATTAAGGCATTTTTCTAAAATTTTTCTTCTAAGCAAAAAAGCAATAAAAATTGAGGTAATTCTGTAGTTGTTCACACTGTTATGTTTGCCACTTGACACATCAATAGAGCACACACGTGCACACACACACACACACACACACACACACACACACACACACAACCATACCAGTCAAGTCACACATGCACATGGTGAAAAAAGACCAAAGATGTAATGAGGATAAATAGCTCTTGCTGAGCAGCTGGAGACATCGTAGTCAATGAAAATGTCATATTGCCTCAACCAAGTTAACAAAAGCACCACCACACAACTGTCAGCATGGACATGTCTGTTCTGCTTTGCTTTCGTTTCTATAGGAAAAGTATGCAAAACTGGCAAAAATTGTGTGAAGTGAAAAACGACTGCAGCTTTTCACAAGGAAAAATATTTCAAAACACCAACAGGAGTTTGCCGAGAGCGGACAGCATAGTAGCAGCGCTTAAAGTACCAACAGGAACTGAGCTCCTAGTATCTGCGAGCCCTCCACAGGTTGCAAACACAAACGTTAAGTTCAGGAATAAAAAATGAGCAGCAAGGGTGAGTAAAGCGATGGCACTGCAAAGGAAATGGAATGAATAAATTCCCTCATTCAACAGACTACCCTGTAAGGAAACTGAAACTAGAGAGTTAATGAGATTTAGGGCCTTTAGATAAAGGAGAACTTCAGCACTACAAGGTGTCATTATTGTGATGTGATCACATTCACAATAAGTTCTCAGTTTTGCTATCAAACTGGACATCATGAACCAGAAAGAGCCTTTTTTCACCATCACCAAGCAACAAGCAAACTGATCCCAGCTCCCTTTCAGAGGACTGCAACATACTGTGGAGATCCAGCTTCACACATCCAACACTTCAAGACCTCCACCACCAGTGCTACACAAGCTCCAGAGAAGAAAGACACCGAGCACTAAGGCTGGTGTGAAAAAAAGATTCAGCCCAAGATTTAAACTTGGCAAAGTCAAGGGAATTTTCCGCATAGAGAGAGGAGAAGAGCAAAAGGCAAAGTCCACATTCGATGTGGCATGCATTTAAGGGCAAAGGCAGAGTTATAAATGGGTCTTTTACTTGAAGATATTTTCTGGATGGGGTAGTCTGGATCAGGTCTCGACAGCCACTGTATCATGTAGGTTTTCTTTGAAGGATCAGAAACGTTTCCTTGAATAGAGGAGAAAAAAAGATATAACACAATATACATTAGCATTAAGTAGTTTACCTGTTAGACGTGGATAAACTAACAGAATGAGCGGCCTTAGATGGTAAAGGAGCCCTGGGAAGGATTATAACTTGGCTGTGTAGGGTTTGGGTTGTAGCAGTTTGCTACAACTTTTGTCCTGTGCTTGACAGCCAACACTGAAGACAGCATGAAGGCCAGTTTTCCGGCAGTACTTCCCACAAGCGATGTTAAATATGTCCTGAGAAGCCTCCAGGCTACGTTGCACTGTTTTTCTTTACTAACCTTTATATGGGAGACCATAATTGACAGCTTGGTTCTAATTAATTAGGAAACAAAAGCCATTTATCAGGAATAAATGGAGAACACAAATTACTTAATAACAGGAGTGAGTAAAATGATCTCATGAGCATCATTTGCAAACAGTAGAAAGGCTAAGAAGGACAAGGCATTGATGTCCTGGGTTAAGTAGGAATAAATTTATTATAGCCTAAGGCACGGAGTTAAGTAACCCCCGAAGATAACTCGTGCTTGACAGAACAGAGGAGAAGCCTGCGAATGTCACTGGTGGTGGATGAAGCAAAGAGGTCTCTTGGCCCACAATGCCCTTGCCCAGCCACAACCCACCCTCCTCTTGGCAAGCCTGACATTTGTCAGAGGTGCAGGGCTGGACTCAGGCAGTGTCTCCCTCCAAGGGATGCTGTCGGCAGCCTGTGGCAAGTGGTGCTTCCCATCGCGAGTGACCAGGAAGCCCAGTGGCCACACAACAGCACTTCATTTGGAAAGTCTGCTTGAAACCTAGCCCACGCTGAACTGGCAACCCAGGCAAGCTTCCTGCATGAACATAAGTTCAATGAAGGCTTTCACGTAAAAGCAATCAATATAATATTTTCAAAGTGAGTAATATAGGTTGGAATAATTGAGTGCTTACTGGGACACGGAGGTAGTCTGCAAATCCTTACGTTCTCTGGTTTATCTTCTCTACAAAAGCCAGCAACGTTGTCCCTGGTCTGGCACAGAACCTGGCGATCCTGCGTGCCATTGCCACAGCTGACAGAGCACTGGAAAGGATATGCACTGGTTACACCCTGAATCACCTTTTGCAAATAATGGTTGAGAAACAACTGCATTTCTTTTGAGCTTACATATTATATTATTTCAACCACCCCAGGACCTACAGTATCCGGTTAGGAGGGAGCACCAATGGTTGAAGCAGTATACAAGGATTTGTGAAACACTCCTAAAAAAAGTTTATGCTCTTACCATATAAAAACTGTAAATGTGAAGCATCTATTCCCACTGTGCACGTGGGACTGCATTGCTTATGATATCTCTTAAATCCAGTGAGGATGAAAATTGATTACTCTTATTTGCATGGCACAGTTCTAAAATGAAATGTTGTATCTACAAATACAGCCACTGTTTTTTAAACAATTTCATGGAGAAACGCTGAGATGAACTGGAAAGATCCCATATATCAAAATTATAAGAATAATTTAACGTTGCAGTATCCTACTCACATTTCTTGCCATTAAATGACTGGAAAGCGTTGCAAATACAAATATATGGAGCTTCCTATTGCTCTGGTAAATATTTCAGCTAGAAAAAGTCTGTGCATAGTGGCATTACATTTCTTGCTCACATAGTGAGTTAGCCCAAGAGCCAGGGAGGAAAAGCTTAAAATGCCCAGCTCCTGACACAGCTCGAACCACTGAATCCTGTCGTGCCCACAGAAACAGTAAACAAAATAGGCAGAAGAGAAGTTGCTCCGTGACTAGGTGTCCTGCGTTTCCTTAGGAAACTAAGTGAAAAACTCCTCTGGTTTATGGTCAGCACCTTATGAGACTCAACAGCTACATCTGCTGAGGGCTTTTAAGTCGAAGACGCTCACATCTTTTATTTCCATGGGCACTGGTGCCCAACTTTATTAGGTGCTCTTATTCACAGTATCTGAAGACTTCTTTAATTGAAAGAAAATAAAATAGTGACAAAAGAATTAATTGCCTTTCTCTCAGCATATGCCAACAGCTAAAAGGCTTTGAACAGGATAAAGAGCAGGTAGAGGTCAGCTTTCCTGCAGCTGATAAATGTATTTGGACAGAGCTGGCTTGTGGGATCTGGATCATTCAGCATCACTGCACACTGGCTTTATCGGGTGTTTCACTACCATCACCTCTCTGTCTAATTTACTTTTTGTGAAATAAGTACCAGCGGAAACCCAACAGCCTCTGTTTAGGAATCAGTTTATCAAGCCAACGCATTTGAATGGACAGCACAGAACGAACACTCCAAGATCTTCTTCCCTGCTTCACCAGAAATTATTTGCTCAAAGCCTCCAGAAGGTGACTGACCTGTGACCAGGGTCCTAATCTCCACTGTGCTGGACAAAGCTCCCGGTTGCAAGGCCTCCGGCCTTCTGGACGATCGTTGTTGCAGTACTTGGTGTGAACAGACCGATTTGTGTTATCGTGCAGGGGCTGGATACATCGGACAGATCGCACCTGGTATCCTGTTTTCCCGCAAGTTTTGCTGCAAGGCTCCCATTCTCCTGTAACCCAGCTGGGTTAGAGAAAAGAGAGTATGTGCTGAGTTAAGTCAATTTGTTAAGTAAAATTCCCTCTCCCCTGAATTAGATGACTTCGAACAGTCCATTGAACTGTAACTCTTAAGCACAAAATTTAGTAGGGTGGCGATATTGGTTCTGATCTCAGAAAAGAAGAAGAAATGAAAACAACTAAGCAGTTCTAGGAAGACTAATTAACCACATCACTGGAAACCAACAGTAAGACCCAGAACTTTATACTGACTCATTTTTCAATTAATATCTCTAAAGATTTGTTCTCCTAAGTTGTTACATACACGAACCCAAACAGTACCTTCCACTCGAGAAGGACAATGCTACGTGGTTCTTAGATGTCCTGCTAGCACATCTGACCACTATAACTAGGATTAATTCATAATTTTTATACTGCAGCCAAAGCTATTTAACAGAAAACGGTATCAGATCCATTAACTAATTGAAATTCATCATCTTTTATTTAATGTCATGGCAGTTTGGGCTGTAAAGTACTTGAAAAAAAATGTCATAGAAGAAGAAATTTTGCTTTTTTTTTTTTTTTTTTTTTTACAGAGAGGAAGCCTACATTTCCTCAGACGAATTATAAATGGTCTCCTTCACTAGTTTGAAGACCCATTAATTCTATTTGTTTGAGCTGAAAGGAATGTGCGTTGCTGTACACTTGCATAACATTTAACGTCACATTATTTTTGCCTTTCTTTCTGTCACTCAAAATGCATGTTTCCAAACACAGACTTAAAAACGATTAATTCCTAATATAGAACGGTGTTGTAGATCTTTGCAAAGGAAGAAGAAGGAAGCATTAAAAACACCCCAAGCAGTCAGTGCTTTGAATATGCACAATATGAAATTTCAGCCTTGCAGAACTAATATTTTAGCTGAGGGACTGAGTTACCGTTTTAAAATATCATGTTATGACACCAGATCCAACTTGACAGGGTTTTTTCCCCATAACAGCATCCGGTAGAATATTTCTTCAACTTTAATATTATGTATGTAATCCATGGCCTGGATCCCCGGCCATGCGAGGCAGCATCTGGCTGAAGCACCAGCAAACACCCAGCTACGCTGCTGGGGCTGTCTGGGCTGAGCTCAGGTGAATGACGGTCCCCAGCATCATCAAGGCTTGGTTTTGTGGGAGGCAAAGTTGCACTGAAAATCTGAGTTCTTAATCAATTTGGACCCGGGAAAACGTTACCTACGGTTTGCAATGTGACATAGGTGAAAACTTTTCCTGATCATCAAAACTACCTCAAGCTGCAAGGACAGGCAAGGACAAGAGGAAATTTATGAAGACACTGAAAACTTGGCTATAATCAAGTAAGTGGAGATATATAGCAGTCTATAAATATTTACAGAGTGCAGAGACCTGCAAGAAAAAAGTATTGTTTAATGTAAACAGGATTCATGGGCTAAATTTAAACAAAAAAATATATAGTCTGAAGAAATATCCTGAGTTTGTAGTGATTCTCCTAAAGTACTCATAGAAATCCAGTTCCTAGACACATTCAAGAAATAGCACAGGCACAAGAAAATGCAAGTTAAGCAAGAAGAGTGGCAATTTCATACAACTGTGTCTTTGTAACCTATTGAAATTACACAGCCGCAGAGGAAGGCGAGAGCTGTGGAGCCCGAAGCCACGGTTTCTAAGGCAATCTCTGAGACAAAAGGTGTTTTTTCCATTAACTGTGAAGAAGCAGCACGTTAGTGTTGTTCTGGGTGTTTCAAAGCTTCATGAAATCCCTAAAATAATTGTCTATCCTATGAACAAGGGATCTGAACAATGCTCAGATATCATTCGGTGGAAACAGAGAAAACTGAAAATTCAGGAATCCAAGCGCAATTTAGGATCCTACTGAGTCTTTGTGGCCCCTGGGTCCATTTACGTTTGTAGCTGAAAGCAGAAAACAGTCCTTTCCAGAGAGTCGGAGATATGATCATTAAGTCATTACTTCAGTGCCAATAAATAAATGTTAAACCCTGACCCAGGCCAAGTTTATGGGGCACAGTTTCTTGACATTTCTCTCCTTCAAATCTTTTTTGAAAGGAGGTTAGGAAATACTGTGTGGTATTTTCTACTTATTTGCTTGGTCTCCATAGATAAAAGCTGAGCTCAACCTATTCCTTTCTTCTTGCAGCAGCAACAGGGGGAACAGGCGTATCCTGCGTATGACGGGGTTAATCCGCCGCCAGGCAAAGAAGTAGCCGTAAAATGTGAATAAAAATGTCTGCAACAATTGACTACGTATAACAAAGATGTAGGTACCATAGGCTTAGCACGCTGTACGAGGACAGCCACAGGAATCAAACCGGCCAAATAATTTTTCCTGTGTTTACATCTCCAAAGATATGCCATGAACTCTAGGACGGTTTGGATTTGAAAGGATGTATGTATGACATTGGTCTTCTTATGCAGCACTCTGCACATTTGTTCTTACGTGGTTAATTGACACTGGGCAAAATCGACCGGTATAAATTGAATTTATGTCTATTTTTTACTGCCTCAAGATGGGCTGAACACAAATGCTTGGATCCAGAAAGCACTTCTTTTCAATTCCAACTTATGTCAGAAGTAATAGGAACCAGCAGACCCTGGAATAGTATTTCTACAAGCAGCATGTAACTAGTAGCAACACATCCACACGTTACTGGGTTTCTAACGACGTACAGAGGTACTTAAGAGCCCTAAGTTCAGGCAGCGGCCATGTATCAAGGCGGAAAAGCAGAGTTTAAGCTTAAGTCACCTTCTTTCAGCTGACCAGCGCTAGCTGGGTAACGCTGATCGCAGCTGCCCGAGAGCAAAGCCGGTGGCAGTAATGCTTACATGGGCTGGGAGCACTCCTGAAGGTTGCACACCCTGCGAATGGGCTTCGGCTTTTGAATCAACTCGCAGTAACTCCGATGAACCATCTTGTGGTCTGCCTTCCTCCGGCAGCCGTATTTTGTGAATTGATAGCCTGCAGAAAGAAACTCCTCTTATTTTCAGGCCAGAGAGGTCTTACATAGGGCTCAGGTTTCAAACTGCGCATGCACTGTTGAAGGTCACAGCCGGAACTGCAGGTGAACACGCTACAAAAAGACCTGTAAATTGCACTGAACGGACACTTAACGTCGATTCACCACCCAGAACTGTTCACTACAGGCCATAAGCAAAAAAACAGCAACCGCTAAGATTTCGAAAATGTTCTGTAAATCTGCACAGCCACATCAAGGGGGCGAAAGCCTGCCTGTCACTATGGTGAACAGCAGCAAGGTGCATCAGGGTGTACAGGTGGCCCCTAAAACAGGGGCCTTCACATAGCAAGGTCCATATCACAGGTTGCAAAAGATTTAGTAAGGACCTGCCCCAGCTGTGCCTTGATGCGGACTTTCTTGTATTTCAGAGGCCCTTGTCCAAATCTTGCACATTTGTACAAGTTTTCAGTTTCATAAACATAAATCGGAAATGAGTCATACCAGATCTGTCCCAAGAGCCATTTTAGTCAGAATTTTAACTCCATATGTTATTTACTTATCTTTTTTTTTTTTAACTTAAATAAAACCCTCCTACACTCCTGGTCTCACTAATGTCCTGTGGCACATGATGCTCACTTTTTCAGTTTTCCCTTAATCAATTTTAAATGCATTGCTCTTCTGTTTTTACCTCCTCCACAAGGTTTTGAACACTGGGACCATTTTTTCAGAGCCCATTCATACGATACCGAGTCCTCTTCCAAAACATTATTGTTATCTACATTCAAAGAATCTTCATGGATCATGTACTTGTAAGTCAAAGATATCTTGGCACCACCGTGAGGAATCACCTAGAAAGCAAAACAGACATAGGGAAAAAAAGATTTGAAAGACTGATATCAGAAGTTATGTGAGATGACGTGAAATAGCAATCATCACGGCTCAGATTAAAAAAACATCCCCGGAGGGATTTAAATCTTTTAGTTGCACTCAAAACATTTTTTTTTCCCTGCTGAAAAAGTATCTCTAGCCTTGTGACACAGAGTTTCTAAACTCAATATTAAGAAAGACTGTTGTTGATTTAGACTGATTTTTCTTGCCAGCATTGGACTGACTTCACAATACTAAATTTTTTCCATATCCCATCATAAAGGAAGGAAATGTTATACTAAAATGATAATGGGTAGTTCCACTGAAAGAAAGCAAATTCAAATGTACAGATTAACTGGAAGAGGTGAAGAGAATGTCTTTTATCTCTGGTAAAACACAAATATTCTTGTGATAATCCTGGGAATTCTATGAAACTTGTTACTTAATCAAGATATAAAAATAAACTATTCAGAAAGAGTTTTTGTGATCATGCTGCAGTAAGACACATGCAAGAAAACATAACTCAGTGTCATAAATTATAAGATATTGGTCCTTTGAAAACATAATTTTTATTCCTCCTTTGATTTTCAGCCGTTGTAGATCAATAGATTAAAGCTGCTTGCGGAGGGATTCGGAATCATTCTAGCCCTCCTTGTTCTACTCTATCATTTGCTGTTAGCAATGAAAAATTAATATAGTTGGAAGGATTTTTGAACTGTGTAACTGGCTGTGCCCTTAACAGCATGAGCCTGGAAGCATAAGGATCTGGTATGTGACTTTGCAGGAAACAGGATTTCCAAAACATGGAAGGCAAGAGGAGTTATTAAATCTATCTGATATGAACTCAGAACTATTTTTTTTTTTTTTTTTTTTACTAATGTTCACATCTCAGCTGGGATAAGTAGGTTGCAGAGTCTTTACACAGTGACCATATGCTACACCATCCGCAGAAAACGATCAGGAAAGTTGGCTGCTCAACACATAACCCTGAGTTATAACAATTCTTGTACACAGCAATGAATTAGGAGAAAGGAATTAAAATACATGTTCGATTGTCCTATACTTGAAGTAGATGTCTTCTTGTAATTCACAAGAGGAATCTAAAATACATTACAGCGCATGATGACTCTGTAACCCTGATGCTCTGTTCCACAGAAGATGGTTTTCATTTGACTTACCAGAATAACTATGCCATTACGCAAAGGCCCCATGGTCTGCACGGTTTCTCTATCGTCGTCATTCCGATATTCCCACTCCACACCCATGTCAATAAATACTTTAGAGTCTGGCACGTAGTTGTCTTCACTTAAAATGAATTTTCCCGTTTCACGATTTTTAATTGCTAGAAACAACATAAGAAACGTGAACACAAGAGGTTCGCTTCCCTGTCCCAGTCGCAGAAGGCAGGAAAGGCCAAACCCAGCAGCGTGCCTTTACCCTCTGTTCCCTCATGGGGTTGGAAAGACTCTTTCAGGTGTTTCACTGAACCGCCAGCACTTTCTTGCTTGGCTCCACTGACATCAATTGTTCTTTTTTTTTTTTTTCCTTCTTTTGCATAGCCTGCCTTGCCACAGAAATGAGGCCAGCGCGGCTGCATTATGTGACCGTGTGCGTCTCTCCGTCAGCTCCCAGCTAACAACTGCTGAGTCCACTGGCCAATCCCGATGCAATCTGCTCCGGGGACCCTTACTGCTCCTGCGAGAGAGGGGCTACGGGGCCAGGCCAGTCAGGTCCCCGCATGGGAGAGAGAGGGGGGCTGCAAATCATATTCGTTCTTCTGCTCGGGGAAATCCTGCCACAGCCCTACTTAAACGGCTGCTGCTTTGCAGAGCCGTGCCATTCTGCACACTGCATGATTCACGGGGTCAGCTGTCATTGACGTCCCATCCTTTACTAGGGGAGAGTTCAGCCACCTTTGTACTGCGACACAGTTTTCTCCTGAGGTGGAAACTTGCCCTCAAAACGAGAAGAGGCGGGGACAGGTTATTATTTATCACCAGGTTTTAACTCCCTTCCCTCTCCAGGTGCTCACTGAGCACCCTACTGCCCTCAGCACTCACCTTGAGGGAGAGGTGGCTGCACATTTCCCTTGCGTGTTGCTTACCCCACTCCAAAAACGAGCCTTGGCTGAATCTGAGAGCCATCCCTCTCCTGATCGATACGGGAAGGCTGCACCGAACAGCAACAGGGAAGCGTTCGCTGATGAGACGTTTGAATGACTCACGATAGAATTAGTGGGCCATTTGCTGTGAATCTACTCCCAATTACCAACAGCCTACTAGATACCGCTTCTCATTGATTACCTGGCATTACGAGGAGCAGATTTCAATTACTTCCTAAGCTGTGTGTGATTGATTGGACAGCCTCGCCTCAGTATTATTAGCAACGGGGCAGAACCTGAAACGGCGTCAATGCTCCCACCGCTCTCTGGATGTCGCTGGGAGAGGACTGAGTATGGGAAGCACATTGTGAGAGACGCACGGGAAGATAACGCAAACGTCGCTGCACCTCGTAATGTAATTCAGCACCTCTTCCAGCAGCTTTCACACATGCACATGCCAATCCTGGGATAGCCTTACTATGACACCAAGGAATACGGCACAGGGAAATCAAATTGCCGAACAAGTTCCCTAATTTAACCCACTTAAAGGAGGTATGCGGTGTGGGAGGATAACGGATAAACAAATGCACAAACACACTGTGAGGCTCCAGAGACAAAAATGAACAGCAGAAAAAAATATTCTGACTGAATTTTTTTCCTACTTGTTACATACTTACCGAGATTATGGCTGGTGGCATCTGTTTCCTGTATAAGTAAGTGTCTTGCACCAACAGGAATTTCAAACATCTTAACGTGCCCTTTATTGCAGTATTTAAAAAGATAGTAACTGGTTAGTATGCCACAAACAGGAAGAGTCTGTCTTAGGTTTTTAAATAGACTTTATTTTCTAAAACCAGAGTATATGAAAGCAAGCTGAACCTAATCCAGCATCATTCTCAACCATGTCTCTGTGCCAGGTGATGGAAAGCAACAGGGACAAAGGGCTCTGAGTCAAAAGAAAAACAGCTTAAATGTCATCCACAAACTGACTTCGTTTCAGACTAAAATGGCTCATTACTAAGTGCTTCGAGTGCCATACTGCAGACCCCCGTAGAGACCATGCAAACTCGGGTCTGACACTGAGAGACAACAAAATTCCAGTGACTCGCACTGAGCAGCTCAGCAACCTCAGCCACACAAATCAGTGCCTAGCTCTCCACCAGGGACCACTGCGAGCTCTCCTCCATGTGCAGGCAGGCCCTGATTTCAGCAGACATACTTGATTACTGGACAAAAATCTTACTTTCACACTTTTAAGCTCTAGAGATGTCTTAATTATTTGTGATTGCTCTGATACTTTTCATGAAAATGAAGACATCAGAAGAGATCAAAAAAAAATACCCTGAATTCCCCAGGACAAAACGCACTGAATGCACTGACCTTGTTTCTTTGGTACTCTTGAAAATGTTCCTTTCACCACCTTGCAGTGGGAATTATCTCCTCCACAAACACCACACTTATCTTCCTGCTTTGTGGAACCTATGACCCTATCGCATCCAACTTTCTGTGCACAAAAGAGAAAAACAGTCATTCTTACCTATCCAAGCTTCAACTCAAATGAGCCTTCAACTCAGATATCAAAACCCAGATTTCTGCATTAGCAAAAAAAAAAAAAAAAGTAGTATTTTCCTGGAAGAGCAGCATCTAAATAGATTTTAATACTTTTATTTCCGGTTCCTATAATAACTGCCAATTAGGCGACTGTATTTTGATGTTATGCTTCAAAGTGGTCCTCATACTGAAGGAAAGCAGCAGTGTTAAGGAAAAGCTCATAAGCCTGGGCTTATCTTAAAGCAGATGCTTAAATTCCAGGAGAATCAGAGCATCTCTGAGAGGTTCAGAACCTTCACAAGTGCTTTGCTGAATCAGAGCATCTCATTCTGTTGAAAGATGACCTGCGGTAGATCCCAGCTTAGAGGAACTGCCATTGATTTTTTAAAAATAGCTTGATCGAATATGGAGAAAATGCACACCAGCTGTAACTTAACACCACTTTCCTTGAAAGCTGCTGCATGTTCATATTTCATTGTACATTCCACCCCCCGCTAAACCCTACGGACAAAAAGCTTTCACTGAAAGCTAATTGCAATAGTTCATTTTAAAATATTGCGTTAAGAATTACTCGTGTAGGTAGATGCTGCTGGAATCGAGTCACATGAGAGCAACTGTGAACATCACACATAATATTATGACAATAATCCTAATGAAATCTCAAAATGCCCAAAGTGTTATTATACTGACTTAAATATTCATTCTTGGAGAGAAACACTCCAGCTACCATTTTAATTGTTTCCACAATACTAACAAGCCATCAAAACTTATGACACTTACCAAGCAGTCTCCCCGCACGCAGACGCTGTAAGGGTCTTTGTAGGAGCAGCGGGTCCCATCATGTACCATCCTTTTCATATATACAACATCACCTGTTTCTTTGGATTCACAATACAGGTGACACCTTTCTTTAGCTGGAAAATAAAATGACACGAATTCTGTGTGCTCAGCTCTTACAGTTTGTTTGCTGACTCTGCGAGCAGCACTTTAAATGGAAACAGTATTAACTCTCTCCTCTTTCTGTCATACCTCACAGAGCATAACACAGTACCCACTAAATCATCGATGATTATCCCCTTTCAAAGGTTATATGATCATTCTGGAAACTGCTGAAGCAGAAAGCACCCAAGGGTCATCATTAGGAGACAGTCTTGGTGAACAGCCGATCATTTACTCCCATTGGGGCCCCCACTTCATCCCATGTTGGATTAAGTAATCTGGCTGAGGTTTTGGCAGTCTGATACTTGACTGCCTCTGGGAGACAGAGGTTTCTGCATCAATTTCTCTCACATTACACTTGAGTCTGAAAAAGCAAAAATAATTTTGCAAATAAGAGCAGCTGTTCTACATTCTAAGTGAAACTGGCTTTGAAAAAGTCTTCAGAGACAACTGGGCCACATCGTTTCCTCCTAAATAAGAAAGTAATTCTCCCTCACTGTTGTACTTGTATTTATGATGGCTTAAATCATTAAACAAGATGAGACATCAAAGAGACTCAGAAAAACTTATTTTCTACTGCTAACACATGTGTAAACAGCCAGACAAGTGTACCTCTTTCTCCTAACCTGTTCCAAGGAGCAAAGAACAAATCATAAAGCTGAAAGGACTAATTACGGGTTGCACAACATTGCCTTCCACCACTGTATTTCACTTTACCCACACCTCTTGCTTTCCCCAGCCCCATAATTAGATTCACTATCCTTCCCTTGTCCGTGAACAGCAGATGGCCTTTCTGTTAGATAGAACAAATAAAGATCCTGCAATTTTAACATGATTAAAATTTAGGGCATTTTTCCCACCATTTAAAAAAATAAAGATCTTTCCGTTTTAGTAGTTCAAGTAAAATAAATCTTCACAGGCCCTTTGCATTCTTCCTTCCACACAGTTCCAAGGCCTCTGCCCTCTTTTAATAAAGTTCTCGTTATTGCTGCTGATGTCTTCATGGCCACTGGGTATTGGTACATGAGAGACCTTTGCTTCCGCTGCTAAACAATGTAGATATGTCACGCCAAAAATGTAGTGTCTGGACCATTAGAGCAGGTACCTTACTTTTCTTGTGCAGATTCTTAATAAAGAAGTATTAAGGTCACAATAATCACAGGCCCAATGGATTTGTACATACTAAAAACATTAGATTATGCACAGGACCCCTCTGTACAAGGGCTTTATTTTAGAGAGACAGTTTCCTTCCCATTGCTCCATGAGAACAGCAAATTTGCAATTTCCATTAAATTGTTAATTGCAAAGTATTATTTTCTTTCTGTTCCCTGGTGCCTGGCATAGCGGGGGGCAGGGAGCATGGAAGCGAGCAATCTGCCTGTCCGTTCCCTGCTCCCTTATCCGCTTCCTTCTCATTTTTCTGAGGACAGCAGCCAACAGCCAATGTCACACTCCACGCTGCCGTGGCAGATGTGGCACAGGGCTGCGAGCCCAGCAGAGGCTGGGAGAGGGGATGTTGGGGGCTCTGGAGAGGCCACGGTGCCGCGTAGCACCTGGGTGCACCCCAGCTGTGCTCAAGCACACACCGGGCTGCACCCTAGCTCCGTGGCACCTCTTTGGACACGCGACAAAGTGCCCCCCTCCCCGTCCCCAGCACAGGCACAATGTGTCAGAGGTGCGCCGAAGACAGACGATGTGTCCAGCTGAGCTGCATGTCAACTGTATGGATTTACGTCACCTTGAGCCATTACTGTATTATCTGCACAAAATAAGTCATTGATGTGCCTTACCTTTACAAAAGGCATCTTTAAATATATCAGACTTCTAATATAAACCTCCCTCTGGCCTTATCTTCACACAAAAGCTGCTCCCTTTAATAACGTCACATAGGTAAATGTAGCTCTCACAAGGGTGGCTGTGGTTTATACCACAGTTACATAGAAAACCAGCAGGGTCCAGTGATCAGTAATCAGGCATCAGTGAATTGATATGACCCAAAATAGAAAAATATCCCATTAGTTTCAATGGTCGTTGTAGCAGACTATTCCAAATGCTAAACCAGAAGCAAAGGCCTGTGGGCCACAGTGTTCTTTCCCTCTCCTTGGGCCAGGAAAGCTACTTCATTAAATGAAGCCATGAAGCTGTATCTGCTCCTCTGAAAGTCTCAGATTGCACAAGATGCAATGAAAAGAATAAAGCAAGCCTGAGAACTGTGTAGGAAAAAATTCAGACAAATTAATTACAAGGAATTTGCCATTGACTTCTGGTGGAGTTTCCTCTCACTGGAATGCAACACGATTCACCCAAAGTGAACCTTCCTCTCCCTGAGAACTGAGCCTGGCTGAGGACAGCTTGGTACCTACTACCTGCCCTTTGCCATGCCAACCCTGACCTGGAGGACCCATCCCTCAAATTAAGTGATTAGATTTAACAACGGCGAGCAGCCCCCACTGCTTCTCATCCAAGATCACTGCCATCTGTCTTTTTCGTTTGTTAAAAGCTCTCCTTAGCACTTTTGCAACACAACACGGCAATTGCATGGCAACAGTCTTCGCGTCCCAAATCAATTAGCTGTACTTTTGTTGACAGTTAAAGCAGAGAAGTTAAGAACGAAATAAGCATTTTTGTTCTAAGAGGTCATTTCTGCCAAGATGTCCAGAACATCAGAATGACCATGCTGGTTGAGACCCAACACCCGTTCAACCCAATATCCTGTTTGTAACAGTGCCCAAGAGTGTTTGCAGAAGGATCTAAAATAGAACAAACACTGTGCTACTTTTCCTACTATAGTTTCTAAATTCCTTGTAAAATGCAACTCAGGGACTTCCTAAGTCATGGCTATATACTGTTGCTTAATAGCTCTGGATGGATTACAGACCTTTCAAGAATTTCTCTAAATCACTTTTTAAACTTCTGGCATCTAAAGCATCCTGTGGCAATGAATTCCAGTTTAATTATATGCTATGTGGAAAAGTACTTCCTTTCATTTGTTTTAAATCTGCCACCTGAAAATGTTATTTGATGTTCCCAGGCTTGTATTATGAAAAACAGTGAATAAATTGTTCCTTATTCAGTTTCTTCATGCTACTCACATTTCTGTAACTCTCTCTCTTTTTAATCTAAATCACTACTTTTCCAAGCTGAAAAGGCCTAATCTAGCCATACTCTCCTGTTTATCCTTGTCTGGTTGGGCCTTTTTATTATTATTACCCTGCATAATTTTGTATTCAGAGCAAATTTTGTCACCTTACTGTTCGCACCCTTTCCCAGATCACTGCTAAACACTCTCAACAGCACTCATCCCAGCACAGCTCCTCGCAGGACATAGACATCTCCCAGTGAGACTATTCCCTTTTATCCCATGATAACTCAGTTTAAGAGCATTGCTCCAAAGCTCCAAAGCAAGCTCCAAAGCTTTTTGAGAATCCAGGTATACTATATGAATTGGATCACTCATATGCAGATACTCGCAGATCCTTTCAAAGAACTCTAATAGATGTGAGGTATGATTTCACTAAAAGTAGTTTGACCCTGCCTTGTATAATTTTCACACATTATCTACTGATTTTATTTTTCATAACGTTTTCTATTAGTCTCCCAGTATGACAGTGGGACATACCGGTCTGCAGTCCTCTAGTCCCCTCCTTATGCACATTTACTCTTTGGTGCATGCTGATAAAGTAAACTTGGCTTATGGTGCCCATGGCCATATGATACATAACTAGCACTCAGCTCCAAACCCCAGAGCTCCCAGGCTGGAACTAACCTCACCAAAACATACTTAAGACAGGAGGAGGGACTACTCACCATCAATGTGTTCATAGGGGAGCCAGTGGTGCTTTGTGTTCTGATATTCAAAGTAAGGATCCCACTGACTGCACTGCTCCTCTCTGAAATCTTCAAAGTCCTTAGGACAATCTTGAGTGTTGCAAAGCTGAAACTCATAGCTTGGCCCCACGCACGTGCGGCCTCCGTTGGCTGGACTGTAGAGAAGAAGGAAAGCGATAGTTAGATATGAATCAAGCATTTATTACATCCTTTCACGCATGATTTAAATCCCAGTCAGGCACTAGACGAAGCCAGTTGTGTATTTCTGGAACTTCCGTCCCACATTTTATCGGGACTCGATCTAGTCTAATGACTGCTTTGATATTTGTTTTCTGTTGAAACAGATAGTCTGGGAGGCGTTTTGGAAAGGTTTCTCAGTCTTTACTATACATCACTACAGCCTGGGTAAAATACGAGATCGTTTTAAAAACCTGCTGCTACTGTCTAGCTCTCACGCAGCGATTTCTGCAAGCAGAGCCTCAAAGCACTTGATACAGGCAGGAAAAGCCATTTTCTGGGTATAGACCAGGAAAGAAAAGCACAAGCAGATGAAGTGACTCATTCATATTGACCCCTTAAGCCAGTAGCAAATCCAGAAATAGAGCACAGATTAGTGCTCTCTCCTCCAGACACAAGTGCATTCCAAGCTGGCACTATGTTATATCTGGCAACACAGAGCTCAAGAGTCATATCTGGGTTTGCAGAGTCATAGCTGGGTTTGCACCTTCTTCCGGAAAACACAGAAAACATTTTAAATAGTACATTAGGACTTTCTTGCACGAAAACAGATTTTACAACTAACATGGAGTCCACAGCTATAAAGGTCACTTTCATGTTGCCAATGCAATAAAAGGCTGAAATTGGAATGGGTACATTTTTCTTGACAGAACAGCTTTCCATCAGAAAATGAAGCCTCACCAAAACAATTTTTTATCATCTATAAGATGATTTTCAAAACTAAAGTCAAATTCAATCACTTTATCAGCAAAAAGTGAGAAAGTCAATGTTAAAAATTCTGTCTGTTTGGTAAAAGCACTTCATTCTGACTATTGTTTCAGTTCCTGCTGTTATAATCTTGACATTTTATGATGTAGCAATAAGATAAGAAAGCAATAATTATATATTTAATAACCGTTTGTGCACACCAATCTCTATGAGGTATATTACTGTTCCAGCATTACTGAAATTAAATCACTCTGTATTATCTAAACAAATCATTTATATATTATCAAAGCAAAACAATTCAATATTATTAAAATTAAAATTGTGAAAGGTTTTGATCTCTGGAACTTTGTTCCAACTTGGAACGCAAACCGTTTGAAAATGTGAGTATATCCTGTCTTCTAAGACACTAGTTGAAATATCCAAAAAGGTAATTAAATGAAAATCAGAAAAAATTATACGAATTTTTTTTTAATTGCAACAAATCATTGCCATTATTTCATACTCACCTGGTACAATAAGAGATATATAGAGGACCCTAAGATTTCTCTTATGCTTTATGCAATAATGTAATAGCACTTTCAAGATCCTTGCAATGGCATAACCAGCCTAATGGATGGATAAACTGAGAAATAAAAATGATTCACGACTTGCGAAGAGCCAAAAGTAGAAATTCTGACAGCTTATACTACAGGTCAGATTTCACAAGCACCACCTATCTCCTTTAGCATCCTTTACTGCACTAGTACTTATTGTACTGCTAATTAGTAAGGTAGCAACAATTCATGCAATTCATTCGCTCTGCATTAGATAAGCACCTGGGCGTACGTAAACTTACTGTGGATTGTCACACTGCCGCGTCCTGTACTTCACCCCTGTGCCGCAGGTGCGAGAACAAGAGCCAAACTTACTCCATGCTCCCCAGTGTCCATCCTGTTTCAAAATATCTGGTGTTAACCAGATGCAGTGACCTTTGAAGCAATGCTAAAAGAGAAAATTGGACAGATGACAACATGATTAGATGATTAAATTATACCACATGAGAAGCTGCGCTACAATACATTTCAACTGCAGGCACAATTTCTGGATTTTTTTCACCTCTCCAGAGGAAAGCAGAGGAACAAACCACCATGAACTGTCAAACTGTGCCCATGATCTCAAACTCAGTCAGACTGAGTTTGACTTACACACTAAGTATGCACCCATACGCTTGCTGGAGTTAAGCCTCCCAGGTTCATTACACTGGAAGTGGCAGAAGCCCGAATCTTGGAGGGTACTGGTAAATTCTCCCGCTGCCATTGCACGCAGCCAGTTCATGCGGCAACAGCAGGGTCTCTTCTGCAGCACACTCCTTCCCAGTTCTTCCTACAGCTCTGCAAACATATTGCTGCAATAACCGTGGTCAGCAAACTGGCGTGCAACTAAAGCCATCTCACATTTCAGACGTTATCGATACCTAATAAAGAACTCTTGCAATATTCCTGGAGATCTCACAGTAAAACTGACTGAAATACCAAGAAACATTCATGTGAGAACAATTCGGGACAGTCCCACTTCTGAGCAGTTCATCACAACCTATTAAGCTTTCCCTTTTCTCTTACCTGATTTCTAATATAGAAGCACAGTCATTTTACAGAGGCTGAAATATGCAGTTTGCTAAATTCTCTGCACCCATTAAGTGTCTACATATTTCTCTCAAGAGCCTTTGTAGCTTCGATACTGATATCCTCTCTACCGTCTCCTCTCATTAAAGAAACCTGCTAATGCCTTTCAACCAGCGTCTTTAGTCCTTAACCAGGGAAATTTTTTTAGCTGAAGTCAAGAAGAATCTCAAGGATCTCAGACTCCGGCCCTTTCTGGTATTATTTTTGCTTACGTAAAAGTCTACTGATGAAGTGTGGGTGCTGGAAAATATTTCTAGCACAACAAATGACTTTGCATTAGACTGTCGCAGTCTGTCTGCGTTAACGGTTACCGTCGGGATAAGAGCTCCGGCTCACACGCACAGATGGCTACAACAACAAGTGCAATCAGTCACTTACTTCCCTTATACATTCAAGTCAACAATAACATTTTACACAGCTTAACAAGCCCTGGAATTTGGCAGGCAGCACGAGCTGAGCATATGGCTAGATGCATGCTGCCAGCAAAAACAAAATCAGAAGATATGTAACAGGAGAGCTTTCTTAAGCATAGAGTGGTTAGTGATCAGGAAGACAAATTTAAAAGTGATGGATAATCATTAATAATGCTGAACTTACAGAGAGAATCATTAGCAAAATGGTGACAAGACGCAGCTTACTGATTTGCTGATCTGCTTAATGACCGGCTCTTTACTCGTGCAATTTATTTTGTTACTGATTTGGTTGGACAAGGAGAGGGTAATAGAGTAGAAATTAGGTTTCAACTATTTGCTCTCTCTCATGACTTCAAGTATTCAAAGTCAAAACCTATGAAGTAGACGAGTTTCCAGGAAGCCCATTATAGCAATCCTGCTCCGGAGCTGTATAGGCAGATTCTTCTGAGCTGTCTGACGGAACAAGAGATAATTCAGTGAAGCATGAAAGAAATGCAAAATGCTAATATGTCCTTCTTTGCCTTCTTCAGTCCTGAAGTTTAGTGCCGCACCCTTCAGAGACTATTTACTTACAACTCGGTAGAGGTTTGTTTGAACAAAAAGTCTGTGAGTCGTTGGGACCTGGGTAGCAACGGGACCCTGAGAGAGATGCAGGGGAAGCTGGCAGTAACTCAGCTTGTCAATACAAATTTCAGCTGTGCTCATGAGATGATGAGATGTGACAGTCCTTGATCTGTACTGTTTAAACATCCTTTTTTCCAGGGTTCTGCATCCCTCACGTATAAGCCACCCATAAATCACTGAGCCAGTTTCAAGAGCCACGTAGCGTGTGTTCGTTAGGAAATGTCCAGTGCTCGGCCTCAGCAGAGGAGAAGAGGAGACATGTGATGTTGTGTTTTCCGATCTCTTTTCCCTTTTTTTAGCCAGAAGCAGGGGGATGTGGGTTTGCAACAACCACTAATAAACCATCTATTTGACACTGCGACTGGTCCCTGAATTGGAAAGCAAACATGGAAAAGTGTTGTTGACTTTGCTGCGTAAAGGAAAGAGCAGCATTGATTTTTACTGGAGAAGCTGGTCATGTGCTGATTGTCAGGAAGCTGAGGTAGAGCGACTAAGAGACAAGCGCTTGTGCGAAGTGAGTCATCAGCAGCTCTGCCTTTTTGTTTGGGGATGAAAAGAGAGGAGCCTACATAACAGGAAATGATCCAGAACTGAATCTTACTCTATGCAGACCTATGGAAACGGAAAGAGTATGAGGAGGCAAAATCAGAGATGGAGTGATCTCCAGTACACTAAAGGAAGCTCGAGTCTTCCCTTCCTGCTGCTATGATATTAACTACATAATGACGTGGAAAAGAAATAATTCCAACCACTATTCCCATCATAAGGAGAGGTTTTCATTTAAAATATGAAGCATATTAAAGTGGTTTTTTTTTTGTAATGAGAAAAAAAAGAAAAACCCTGGGTAAATGTGAATTGCTTTCTTAGTGGAAGAGAAGATGACTTCTTGCAGTCTCGCCTATTTTTTTGGCAAATAGGACAGTCCAAAACAAGTGCAATTTCCAGGAGAGGAAGCTTAAATCTCTTGCAGTAAGACATTCCACTGCTGTTTTCAGCAGTTCTTTGAAACAACGGCTGCAGGTGCCAAAACAAGAGCCAGTGTGTTCCTATGGGCTGAAAGCATCTGGGAGTTAATTTTTCAAGAAAAGACTTGCAGATCTTGCTTTGATATCTGTACCTATTTTATATCAGACAGCAAAACTGTCAGCCCTTCGGTGCGTCTCCTTGATTGTTTGCCCAGTTACCTGCCAGGTAGCTCCTCCAAGTGCGTTACGGCTGCTGTAGATCATACCAGGAGAAGGTTACTTATTTATTTATATTTCCCATCAGATGCGGGCCGGCCTGCTCTGCTCCATCTGTTTAAGAATAATTAGTTGCAAGGGATAAACTGAGAGCCGTAACAATCAAATGTGCCCTGCAAGCCAGTAAAAGTTTCTTGAGTGCAGAATCAAGTATTCTCACTGTTTCTGTGGTGACTAACACAGCATACACCTACCCATCTGTCTCCTGTCTCCGAGAGAAGCTGAGGTCAGCTTTCTCAGTGGGAAATTATCTGGATTGCTCTGAGTACACATTAGTGTACCTTTTTTCTTGGTCCATTTTTCTTCTTAATAGTATCTTTTTATTTCAATATTTAATCATTCCCTTCCTTTCCTGTTACACAAAAAAACCCCTTCCAAGTTCAACTCAGATAATCTCATTAAAATGGTGAAAGTAAAGAGAATTGCTAGGTGTATGCTTGCACCCTTGGCGTAGGTGCCAAACTGACGAGCAACATCAGCTCAGTTGGCACGGGAAGGTCCTGGGTTCTTACCTCTCTCCAAGAAAAGAAATAAAGGAGTGTCAGGTGGTGTAAACCTTTGTATTAGTCACTGCAGCAAGCAGATGGGCTCTAGTATGCAATCTCCTTGCATGAATGACTTTTTATTTTTTAACTTCTATCTCATGGAGAGCAGGTAGCTACTTCAGCCAATATAAACGTCTCTCCCGAAGAGCCACAGTTTAAGAAACAGAACAAAAACTGATGATATGTTTCTAAAGGTTCCCTGGCTGAAGAAGCCTGCAGCTAACAGTGGAGCTTACAGAAGTGGATACAAGTAAATAAATGATCAGCTGAAGGCATATGATTTTTTAATCCACAGCTGTGCAAAGAGTTAAGCTTTGCACAGTTATGCCTTATCTGCACATTTTACAATAGCAATTTATGGAGCATCTCTCACTTCACGTTGAGACTCTGATCCTACAAGTGCTTAACTTTACACACTGGAGGGAACCTTACACGCTGCAGTTATTTCTTGGAGGTCAATATGACCATTCAGAATGCACAGAATTAATTGCAAGTCACTGCACCATCAGACCTCCAGAAAAATCAATACAGTTTTCTTCTTCCTTTTGAAACCTTAGTCTGGTTTAAAAAAAAATAGGCTGAAAGCAATGTAAAATATTCTATATATTCCCTTCAAAATTCTATAAAAATAGTGATTTCCTTCTCTGGGAAGGTAGAAGCCAAGAGAATAATTTATCTTACTGTCACTAAATCCAGCAAATTATTAGTTTGTTGCCAATCAACATAATGTATCTGGTTGGCAAATGTCTCCATTTGCATAAGGAGATTTATTAAAAAGTTCTTGAAATTGCTGAACCTCCCTCTTTCACCAAATTCTTTCAGGCAATCACTACACTCACAGTGAGTTTCTGCGAAAGCAGCTAAAAATTTAATAGATAAAAGACCATCGCTAACAACTTCCAGGAGCTCAGAGTTTACATATATCTGCATAAATACACATATGTGCAGCTGCGCATATATATACATAGACACATACATGCATGCCCACAACAGAGCATTAAAAAGTCAAATCTTCCTTCTACTTCTAACGCTGCGTGCCTGTGGCTGGGGCACAGGCAGGGCACGCAGAGACGAGGCCAGTATCAGCACGGCTGCTGGAAACGTGCTACCAACGTGGCATCTCCCAGAGCTGTTCCTGCCCCTTGAGCTTCAGCTAGGAAGAGGGCAGGCGGCACTGGATTCTCCTCAAGAGCATCAGCTAACTTTGGAAAAGTGAAGAGACCAGTTATCAGCTATCTGAGTACCAGGCTTAGGTGAAAATAGCTACGCACCACAAGCCATGTTAGTCCCCGGAACACGACTCTCATTTCTGGCATTCAGTCCCCTCAGCTGCTGCAGAGCCAGGATGTTTCTTTGACACATCGGCGGTGTTTTGATGGGTCTCAGCTTAAAATAGGCACTGGGAATTAGTGGTATGAAATCACGATAGCTACAAGTCTCTAAAGTGGGAAACAAATGGAACTTTTTGAATCAACATCTTTAATTGCTTATGTTTCTGTTCATTTCTTCTCTGGCATTGTTCCAAAGAAAATCGCGGACCAAGTTTGAACTTATTTTCCTCTTCCTCGAGTGTTGCTGAGATATCATGGGAAATGCATCTTAAAGGAAACGGCCACACAGAAATTGAGTCCCAACTTTCTGCAACGTACTCATTTTACAGTCACCGTCCCTTCTCTTAAGAGCCTCCGGTATTGTCCAAATCGATGAAGAGAGTGACAAGAGAAAGGCCAAATCAAGGGGGGGATGACAGGGTAAAGAAAAGATGGAAAGGAAATGATCTGATTTGTCTGTATTCAAAAACACCAGTAACTCCGAATAAATACCTTGGTTAAACGTTGAGCTCAGAAATACAAAGTTAATAGTAACACTTTATAACTCATGCTATTAAAAAAAAAAAAAAACTGTACGGCTCAATTTATGGAGTCTTATCTAACAAAATGGTTTTATTTTACATCATTTTCTCAGGTTCTCTTGGAAAGCAGCAATAAGTTTATTTATCAAAAAACTGGGACAGCTCCTGTGGGAATAAAACAGTTACAGTTCTATCATCTGCTAAAACTTCAGGATGTGCGCATACTCCCTCACATCTCCACTGAACTAAAAACCTGGCCAGTCTGCACAGTTAGCCAAAACCTTGGATCCCAAGTTCCAGTCCAGAGAAAATTTTTACAGCTGAGTTGCATAATATCCTGACAAACTGTTTATAATGGAAGCACTGACTGATCCTTAACTGTATGGTTACAAGTTCTTTCTTTCTTCTTGTTTCTATTCAAACACTAATATGAAAAAATGGATTGGTAAGTGAAGCAAGAAAAGGCAATATAATTGTTTTTTTCTGGTGCTTCATAAGCATTTCAAATGCAAAATCAAGATACACAAAACTGGTGTGAGTCAATCTAAAGAAACTACCTAAGATTTGGGACTGCAGTTTTAAAATTTTATTCATATACTTTCACACCAGGAACAAAGCTGTTATAATAGGAATAATCTGAAGAAGAGAAAAACAAAAGGGAATGGCTTGTATAGCTCATGGCTTGCTGGGAAGAAATTTAGCATTACACTGTGCTTTCATAAAAAAAGACATCTCAAACCACAACAGCAGCTGCTACTATGGTTCATTTGTCTTATCAATAATGTCACCCACTGGGGTCTACAAAACGCCTTTCCAAGCAGTGACATCTTTCTCTCCCCCTCAGTCATCACACTGAAAGCTCAGTGAAGTCAGCGTTTTTCAGCAGCCTCCAAAGGCCTGGGAGTTCAGATCACTTCTGGGCACGGGACAAACCCTACGAGCACGCCTCCCTAGAAGGTAACCAGGAACGGGAGCAGGCGCAAAGTGGTGACCTATGATGGGAGCTGCTGCACCCTTGGCACCTCGCCCCTTCCCTCCACAGCTCCCCATGTCCCCCAGGACTCTCACTGGACTAGCATATCTGCCTCCAGCTCTGCCCTTCTCTGTAGGTCCTGGCTTCTCTCCCACAGCCGCTGCATGTTGGTTCTCTCTAGCAGGCGTTCAGCTCCCACGTCCATCCTTTCCCTCGGGCCAGTTACAGTGGCCTCAGCTCGATTACAATCTCCAAGGACTTGCTGCTCTCTGCAGCCACAGCACTGGCGACAGCAACATCACGGATCTAAACACAACCCCTCCTTGACCTCACATCAGGCGTTTGCAAGCGGAAATTCCCCCTTTTTTGGCTCTTTGCAACGACGTGCCAAGAAGCAGAGTATGAGCCCCCAGTGGGCGTGCACTGCAATGACTTGCCTGAGCAGTGGGTGCGGTGGTTAGCCAGCTCTCACGCACCAGCCCCTGCCTCCTCTCGGCCCGCTGCTGAACAGCCCTATTTGCATTCATGAGTTTTCCTTCCATCTTCGCTGATTCCAGAGTCTCAGGTCAGTTTTTCTTTTGTCAAACTGACTGTATCTCTGGCCAAACTGGGACTTGGGAACTTCTGAGTCCTAACACAGCTCACAGCCACACTTTCCCAAAAGCTTTATGGAAAAACAAAAAAATCATTCTCCAGTCCTCTGCTTTCGGCATTTGTAAGAATGAATCAGGAGGAGGAATCCTGTCTTTTTGCCCTTGAAGCTAAGGGGAACATCCCCAGCTGTCTACAAACACACAGACTTGAACACACGCAAGTGTGTTGGTACACGCACAGCAGCTGCTCTCACCTTTCCTGGCGCGCACATGGTCCCATCCAGTGGAGGCCCTTTTTTCGTTTTGCAGAAGTAGGGGTTCTCGGGATGGCTGCACCACAGCTGCTTGCAGGGATCAAACGTACGGAACTGAAACATAGGAAAAGTCAGAGTGGACGTTGCCTCGAGAGAGCGCTGCCCACAAACTCAGCTAAAAACTCTGCAGCATGGTAGGGTTTTCCCTTTTCTAGTTTTGAAATGGCAGATGTTATCACTGACTCCTGAGGACCACCTGCGTGTCCGTGGATTGAGCAGAACTGAAGACCACTTTCATGTAAAACCATCAATGACTCTGAAGCGAGTTTCTGCCCACATTTGATGGAAAAATGCCATGCAGAAATGGTTTTATACTAGCAGCCAAAGGCAGGCTGGGCAAGAGAAGCTAGTTACCCTGGGTGATAAGACATCTTACAAATGGTACTGCTTCATTTGGCAAGCAAAGCAGAAAAAAACTTGAGTACTCATGGGAGAAGAAAACAAGTTGCTCAGACTGTAGCTCCATTGCTGCAATCACCTTCTTGGAGGAGGGAAATCTGATCCCTCGTTAACTGAATCCTGATCCTATGAACAATTTAGAATTTTATCTATCATACAACAGCATCAATAGGAGAGAACGAGAACCACCCATCACACAATATACTAAAACATGATGCTTTAACATGCTGTTGGCTGTTCTGAATAAAGAAGGATTAAAAGCCCCACAGTCTCCCAGACTCCAGGGTACTGCTGTAAGAGCAGACCTGCTCTGGCAGGGACATTCTCCCAAGGGTGGGAATTGTGTCCAGACACAGTCCTACAGCTGGTGCTTTAGAGGTTCTCATCCATTATTTGGAGACACTACTCGGCCCACATATCTCTGCAGATGGGAATCAAAGCAGAAATGTGTTACATGTTAGCAGCTGCTGCACCAGCTGAAAGCTTCTCTTTCCATTTTACATTTTTGTCCCACTTGAGGGGCTGGGAGGCACAGCTTTGCCAAAGAAGATCCTTCTCTCTGAGACCAATCCACTGAAAATTGCACTAATCTTGCCTAGTTTCAAACTGAAGACTTTATCTCTTGTTTTCCTGGCACAAGAGAGCCAACCATATCATCAAGAGTCCTTGCAAGATGCGCTACTTGCTGTCACGCTCATTTGCACATGGTAGGCATCAAAATACATTATACTTTCCCATAAAACCGGAACATAAAAGCATAGTGCCCCATGTTAGCAGCACAAGATGTGACACTAAATCCTTCTCCTTCTCATCCGGGTGGGAGTTCGGTAACAAAATAACTAACTGCCAGCAATAGGAGGCTCAGTAATAGAGCAAGCTTGTTTGCTCCAAGTCTAGAACTGTTTATGAAACTAGAGCATAGTCATTTCTGTAACTCCAGTTAAAAAAAAAAACAGAGATACTTAAAATAACTTATTTGTCAACATTCAGCTGTTATTGCTTGCTTTCAGTTAAGTGGGCACAACATATTTCCTTGTGGCCTTCACTATACAGGCTCTATTAAGGACGTTTCAGAGACACTTACAACACTCCTGGATGAAAAATAGCAGAAGCCAAGCTAAGTACTCACAGCTGTGCACATCATGTAGCCCAAACCAAAATCAAAACGGCACTGCTCATTCATGGAGTAGTGAATTCCTGGCAGCTGAGGAAGGGAAGGCCAGTCATGTTCGAAAGGATCATCACGCAGACAATCATAGGAACTGCAAGAGGCAAAAATTGCAGTAACAGATGGGGCTGTGAGACTTGCACAGTGTTTGTGGTTTCAGTGGCTTTTTGTTCCAAACAAAACAGAGCCTACAGTTTCTCAGACACTGGTCATAAAGAGCAGTTAATACTGCAGTTATGCTCACATAAACTTAATCACGTTGTATCCACCTTTAGTGGACTCTAGCTATCTTTTCTGAAGCGTTTCCATTGTAATTTTCACTTAGCTTGCAGGTAAATTCCTATCAGTCTCCAGGTTCCCTATGTGAAAGGAATCAAAGGAAGAATCCAGATGAGACCAAGAAGAAAAGAAAGTTTAATTAATTTTCCGTTTGTGGAATTTCTTGTTGCCTGCAACTGTCTTTCAAGTCAAGTTTTAGAAGCAGAAGCCAAGGTAACCAGCCAAGGGTACTGCTAAGCTTGCAATATTGCTGTGCCCTTGCTGAGAAGCAGGGACTCATTCACAAGCATGTGTACTTTTCAGCCTGCGTTAAATACTTAGGCTTGTCCCCTGTCTCTGTCTCTCCTGATAGCTCTCAGTTCCAGCTATCATTTTTACAAAGCTTCCTTTCTGTGTGATGAACTTAGGAGATTCTTCTGTTGTCCTAAACAGTGAGTGTATGTACTAGATTGCTATTTGGCTAAGGTGCATGGAGCACTGGGGATAGATACTAATACCACTGGATGGTTAGCAACGGGATAATCATTGGCTAATTCCCAAGACCGACGTGGTAGGCAGTATCTCTGAAATGTCTCTGAACTATTTAACAAACCTGAGGACACCATACACAACTCTATTCTGGCAGTCATTCAAGTTGCCTTGAAGATACCAACAGCTGAAAGCAGAATTTTGAGGTTAGATTTACTTCAGAGTAAATCGTTGTTCTGCTTTGTTGTATTTTAAAAGAGCTGTATTTAAAAGAATGTAAAGCAGCCCTCTAGGCCAGATGATTTTTATTTAATAGATAAAGCACTAAAGGATCCTGATAACTGAAATAATCACACATTTCTATGAAGTTCTTTTTTTAGTTCTTATTGCCATACCTAATATATCTAAGACAATAAAAAGTATTGACAAAAAAGACTGACTCTTGTTTATTTCGGGCATTTTGTTGTACTGTTTCCTACACATTTTCTGTTTTTGCCGTGTATGGTGCTAGTAGCTTCCCCGTATTTTTTGCATGCATCTTGAACATAACAAGGGGAAGATCTTTCCTATAAGGAGCAAAGATAGGATTGTCAAATCAAAGTTTGTCAGGGAACTCAGATGCAGGTCTAGTGCCTGAAGGGTCATGTTCAAAGAGAAGGCAAGGGACATGGATAAAGCTGTTAAAAGGACTGGAGAATGAAATGATTTTTGCGTTTAGGGTACGTAAAGGAAAAGTAATCACTGAAAAATAAGGTCAAGAACTATACGCTTTCTTTAGGTATCTCTTAAAGCCAAGAAAAGCTCTGAGTGCTTTAGAAGAGTAAAATTTCCCCTTTAAGCAGCACTATCTTATCATTGGCAGGTATCACGAGCAACGAATGGCTCAAGTCAACTTTGGTAGCTGTAAGAAGCTCACCAGCACCACTGCGGAGCAGAGGCACTCCTCCAGCGAGAGGTTATATTAGGGAGAGAGGAAGGTTAGTAGTGAGGCTAGTAGCAGTGCCTTCTTGTATATCCCAGGAGGAAAGCTTACATACTGTCAACTTCGAGGAAATGAACAGATGTCAATTAAATGAACTGAGAACAATCCCAAGTAGATTGAAATCAAAGTAATTGGGAGCCTATGTTATTGCAATTGCTTACAAAGCATCTTCTTCCTGATAGGACGGGCGGGGGGAAAGTTCTTGGTTTTATTTAACTGCCTTTGAGTAACCAATAAAAGGATAACGCAAAAACACTATGCGCAGAATTGTTCTTACATGCTTCCTAGCCAAAGGAGAGAGGCAGCTTAACAGCTACTCACTGGAGGTATCGATTCAGCTCTTGCTGGCTGCAGCGAGACCAGTGGAAGCGGTGAAATGCGGCTTGCACGAGGGGGGCCATGATGCTCCCCAGGCGGACTTCGTCCCCACACCTGTTTCCTTGGCCGTCATGCTCCATGCCCAACCTGCGCCGCACAGGAGAGAGCGAGCACCGTTACATCGCAGGGCAGCTCTCAGGGCACAGTGCTTTCAAATCCCAAATGCCACCAGCGGTCAGGGGCCACCAGGTTGTTAAGTCCCACAATCCTTGTCCATGGGAGAAAAGTCAGGACAAATAAGGCTAGTCTGCAGTAGTAGCTCCCACATAGAAGCATTTACCCTTCGCAGTACTTCCACGTGATTAGCTTAATCTACTTTCCAAGTAGACTGAATATGCCTTCTTTCAACTTCTGTGCACATATCTACATTTGTGAGTATCTGTGGCTAAATGAATCCATTTCTGGACTAAGGATCTAATCTACTCTCCAAAAGTATTAACAGAAATGTATTCATACTCCTATCTGGAGCTATTCAGGACTTAACGCAACTTATCTATCTTAAAAAAAAAATCACATATTAGCTTAATTTGAATTAATTTGCAATTGTAGACTAGTCCTTTGTGTGGAATCAAAAGCCCCACTGAGAGTTAGTTTAGACTCGCTCCTGCTGCTGCCCAGTGGCAGTTCCACATTCCAGCCTATTTTCACACATAAACAAAGTGTCGGTGCTTTTAAAAAATTACTGCAAGTTACAGGTATCTTTGAATTCCTTTTCGGCTATATAATGAATATATTTGTTCCTTCCCTTTGTTAGGATCTTATATTGCATTTTTCTGTGGGCACTGTCTGACTAACATTGGAGTTCTCTTCCTTTAATCTAAACTAACAGACTGGCGCTCAATGTGATTTCAGAGGTTACAAGCAATCTTCAGTGGTACCTCTTCAAACCTGATTGTGCATTCTTTTTAACCCTAGTTCAAAAATTCTGGAACTAAATACCATCTGGGTATCAATTCTATGTCCCTGTCTAATTTAGATACATGTACAGGGAGATTCTACAGATTTTGGCAATGTTTTTTTTTAAAGCCCTCAACAATTTCTGATATGAAAACCAGGAAATTGCCCGCAGACTTTCTTAGGCAAAATATAATAGATTGAAACTGTTTGGGGAAAGCCTTCTGGGAACTGTTATTCTACCAAGAAAAAAATGGGAAATAAGTGGGCGTTCTCTGCAAATGTAGAAATCAAAATGCTCTGGAAGAAACCAAAGCTCTAACAACTACCGCCTTCTCATTGGTTCTAATCACATTCATAAATAAAATAATTGCATTTTGTAATACGAAATATACAGAGTAGTTGTAACCTCAGTGCTTGGCATCTTGTTTCTATACAGTTTTGTATTCTTTAACAGAGGCAACGTATACAGATGATAGGTTTATTTAACATAGACTGTTTTTTTATGAATCATGTATTCCAATGACTCAAAGAATTCATATTTCATCAAAATAAATACTTTGCATTTCCACCAGGAGACTATCATATATCACTGAATCTACTCTCATAACAGCCCTGGAGAGTATTTTGGTACTAGCTCCTTTTTCCATTTGAAAATACTCAAATACAAAGTGATTACAAGACTTACTTAAGATCATACGGAAAGCCGTGAGAGCTGAAAACTGAAGCTAGGGCTAAGGGCTAACCCTGAATGTTGTTTCTTAACATAAACTGTATCTTACCAATGTCGTAGATATTTGTCAGTACCAAAGACATCATAAGGTAAGATACGGGATATTCGTAGTTCTACTCACACATGTCCAGTTTCATGGGCCACCACAAATGCAGATGAAAAACCATCTTCATGGTTGAGCGTGCAGCTTCGAACAGGATGACACATTCCAGTGACTGGAGCATAACCTGTGAGAAATACCGCATGTCCCAGAAAATGAACAAGTGCAGAAAGGCAATGTCGTGAAAAGCTCGAGTACAAACATCTCTGACTTCCCCGCTGGGGCACAAATGGGAAGGTAACAAGAGACCTCTGCCCCAGACACTTAATAATGTGCTCCCTCATCTATAAAATATATGAAATGAGTCTGTTGAACAAATCAAACTATATTCATGGTTCACCAAGACACCGTTATCTCCTCTAGGACCATTCTGCACCCGGTCTCCTGCAAGTACATGAGGCAACAGGAGGAAAGGCTACTGCATGCTGCTGTGTGCCAGCTTTGGAGCTGGGTGCAATTCCAGCCCTCGGGGAACACGCGAGCAAAGCCCCTTACTGCCAGCAGATCTGGCCAACCCAAAAGGAACAGGAAAGCCTGGAAATTTATCCCCTCCAGTGAACAAACCTGATCTCACAGGAGGCAGAGCCCGGAAAAAAAAGGAAAAAGCAGGGGACTATAGTTGGCCCTGCCGTTCCAGACCTCTCCGTAACAATATTTCTTGGCAATCCCACTGGAACACTGCAACAGTTTCTTGGAGTCTTTTTAAACAGACTCTATTCTTTAATCTTTGGGAAATTTCAGGACTGTTTACACAGGGATCCCGTTTGTTTGGCTTCAGTAACAGCAAAGAAATGATCCAATAAATAATTCTATTAGTTAGAAAGGATAAAATAATAACTGAAAGAGTTACAACTCAAAATGGCCACGTGCAGAGCTCTTGGGAAAAAAAACAACGTTGACCAAAACTAAGCAAAGGATACATGATTAGACACTGCACGATGAGCTTTGTTACGTGATGAACAGAAATGCTGCTGAGAAGTCCTGACACTTGCACAATAAAACTTGATGCGCATCTTACCTTGCATGCCAGATGGACCAAAATCCTGCCTTGTGAGGAAGATAGCATGATCGTGGTATTCTGCATGCCCAGTGTCAGGTTTCTGTTGCAAGTAGGCCCAGCGACACACATTCTCCAGACTTTGCGAAGGGTTCCCAATCTCTATCAGACTCATGGACTGGACGTGCCGAGGAAAAAAGACAGCAATTGTTATTTATTAAGCTTGGGCATTTTTTTTCCAACTTGTTCGGGCACCTGGTCAAACAAACCGTTCTTCGTAAAAAGAAAATTATGTTTCTGGAACAAAATTTACTGGATCAAGAAAGTAAGAAAATAGCTTATATCGAAGGTTGTATTAAATATGAGTTCTGTCACATGTTCATGGGCTCCATGATATAATGAAAGAAAAAAGCAATGGATATTTTAACGACAAAAATGATACTGCATCGTACACTACTGTACACTATTTTTTCTATGCCATCCTGGTACCGGTTTGTACCATCACTTCCAGCCTGGATACCCCGTTTAGAACTGCAATGGCCACTGGCCAGCTGAGACTAAGTCCCAGGTGGGGAAGGACAATGCTTGTTAGCCAAGGGAAGCAAATGGAAACAGTGGTAGACTGCAAGCATGCAACCTTGCTTCATTAGCCAGTTTTGCCATGCAACCAAGTTGCTACAGCTATTTTGTGGGACCTCTGAACACTACTGGATGTTCTATCAAGTGTAAAAACTAAGTGCATTTTTTTTAACTGTACTTGAACCTTTACTTTCAGATATGGGCTTTCCCGAAGACTGTCTTTTAAAGTGCATTTTTCTTAACCCATTCCATATTTGAAGACCATTGAGAACACAGCCCATGAACACCCCACTCCAGTAAGCCATTCTCCCTATAAACCACACACTACGTGGCTGCTGCGTCGTCACTGCGGGGCTGACATAAATGAGCTAACGTGTATTAGATGTGGTGCACAGGATCATTCTCATTCTCTTGAATGAGAAAGAGAAAGGTATTTTAAAGTCCAACTACGACATTTGCTTCTTTGCAAAACAGTACTTTTTTTGAGGCTTCCCAGCAAATGCTATTTAGCATTGTGCATTATTAAGACTTTAAAAAGCTTATTGTATGTGGGATGCCATAAAATGTATGACTAACTGACCCACCCCAGGCCTTCCAGGATTTGTAAGAGCTACATATGTGAACTCTGACTTTTCATTTGCAAAAATTGTATCACCATGACAACGCTGTAATCATAACACAAACCACTACAGTTTGGATGCCTATACTATCCTATAAGCATTTATCATTCCACAATACTTAATTTAGAGCAAAACCTAGCCTGGGCCAAAAATAAGAGAAAAGAAATACAGCTCACGCTTAAATACAGATGTATTTGACGTGTCCTCTAGCTGAGTACACGATTTAGTACCCAGAGCATGCAGTACATGAGAAGAAAAATCCTCAAAGGGTGGTAGAAGAACAACTGGAATGGATAAAAGTCTGCCAAACTGAGGTCTGGTTTTGGCAAAAACGGGATATTGCAATTGTGCAAATGTTCAGAAAAACAAATTAATAGACCAAAGAGAGGGACAGTTTGGATTCTGATACCACTGTGGAATGAAACAGTTGCAATATAATGCCATGCCTGATCCTGCTGCTCCCAGCCATAATTCCCGTGGAAATAGAACCATAGTAAAATGGTGGGCCAGTTATGGTGCCTTTCTTGCATCTGCATATATTTATAAGAACACACTTAAACAAACTTTGACTGACTACTAGAGGATAAAATCCTGGCCCTTTAAGGAAAAAAAATCCTGTCCAGCTAAACAAGACTGTGGTTTGACCACTGCAGAGGTCTTCAGCTTTTTACCACTGACAGGTGTTACTATTAAAAAGCATCTCCACCTTGATCTCATTTCTCCAAAGAAGAAAAATCCCATCAAGAAGCCCACTGAGAACTACCACGAGATTCCAAAGGGCAAAGAATCTGGTCAAATGAAGTTGCAAAAATCCCAAGACATACATATGTAAAGGAAAAACTGTTTACTAATAACTCTTGTTCGCATCATATCCTCCTACACTTCCTGGTAAATAAAAATCATTACATTTTATAAGATGCTTTGATCAGTAAACACACAAGAAAGATGCATTACCAGCATGTACTTTGTTTAAGGGTATCCAACTATTCACAAAGACATCTCTGTATGATCAGCAAACAAGGATGGGATATAAAAAAGACAGTAATTTCCAACAAATATCCACTATTACGAAGTTTTCCTCTGTCATCTCTTCCCCACCCTTAAACTGAAAATTTTGCCAGTGGACTACAGCACTAAAGCAGATGACTAGGTTTAGAAACAACTAAAGCAGCAGCTTGCAGCACTTGTTCTGATGAACACTGAATCTGCCACGGGGAAGAGATCAGTGTGCTGCAGCGCATGCAGCAGTGCCCACAATCTGGGCACTGCGCTGGCATCTGGCATTAGTTGACAACTGTTTTCACTGTCTACTGAAGTCCACTATGGAGAGTACAACCACTGGTTCAGTCCAAGAGCCTCTCAATGCCTATTTATCAAAACAGTGATTTTAGAGTTTCCCTTCAAGCAAGCAATAGGGGAATAGAACTAAGTGGTTACTGTGGAGCATCGTGCTTTTTTGCATGCAACATGCTGGGAAAATTGAAGAAAATCCATCTGGTAAATGAGGGGAAACTGAAAGCACAGAAGTCTGTGAAACATGTTCCAACTGAAGGACCCACTTCTTTGCCAATGACGTGATTTTAACATCAGGAAAGTGACATATCTTAAATTCAGCCTTACTGCTCTTTAAGAGTAGGAAATGAGATACCCAGTAGGAAATCAATTATTTAAGGAGTCCATGGGCTTATTACAGATATGAATAGCAACCCTAGGTCCTACATCAGTAAGGAGGATTTCTAAGGAGTAAGAGGAAAAACTCTGTTCACTTGCAGTACAGAATTAAAAAAAAAAACTGAAAAACTCAACCTATATTCAAAGTCCGCAGAGCATGAATATCCTCCATCTACAAATCCCTTCTCTTTCTTCACCATAATGTAACAGCTGAAAAGAGAAGCCCAGCTGGTTCCTAGAGAATTTTCACCTGAATATCCCCTTTCTGCAATTTGTCAAGGACTTTCAAATTAGATGGGCTCCAGCACTCCTAACAGTGACCTCAGCACATTGCTGGGATCTTCTCACACTCGATAACTCTCACCTGAAATACCCCTTCACTATCTTGTTATCCAGCATCAGAAACCGATAGCAACAGGTAAGCGGGGTGTCATCGTTTGCACTGGGATTTCCCAGCTTTGTCCCGAGTCGTGTGCCATCCGAAGCGGTGTGATACCAGAACAGCGCCTGTGGCGTATGGCCAGGGAACCACCGCTCCGGGATCCAAGTTATCACCTCTGTGCTAAGAACTTACCATTTGCACCGGTTCAGAACAAAGACCCACGTAACGCAGTATCCTCTACTGACAGCAGGCAACGGTGGGGGCGAGGGAAGGAAATCAGAGAGGGGCAAGTATAGAGCAATATTTCCTCCTAATAATCTTTCAGGTCCCAGTGGTCTTTGGCTCAGAGATTTCCTGATCCAGGCATGATGTTTTTATACTGAAAAGCTCTAAAATTATTTTTATTCTATAAGCCTGGCTGGTCACTTTTTCTGCTGCTCCCTCCTTTGAAAATACACCCTGCTGTCCTGCCAGAAGGGTGCCTAGGAAATCACAGGACCAGACACTGCTTGCCACGAGACAGGGCAGATGTAATGTTTTGGAAGGATGTTGTGGTCAACAATTTGCTCTCGTAGAGATACCAGCTAACACTTGAGAATAGTTTCCATTGGAAGTCAATGGGGACTATTCGCCAAAGTCAGAAAACCCCAGCCTCACACTAAATGCATAAAGTGAATGGAAAGGAGAAGAGGAAGAGAGGTGAACAGTATACAACCACAAGGACTGCAAGTAAAGGAAAAATCCCTCTCCGTCAGGCTGTGAACCGAGGAAGGCTGGGGGCTAGCAGGCAAAAGCTGAATATGGAGAAGAGGTGTACGTGTTGCTGTTGGCCAGGAACAGGCCCACACTGCCAGGAACATGCAAGTCCTGCAGCTGGCTGGGAGCTAGGACCTGGCTGAAAAGGACCTCTTTCCAAACAGGACAGCAGCCCTGTGGAGAGCATTACTCAGCTGACCAGTGGGAAATCTGCCAGTGGAAAGAGAAACTTTCCTTCTCACAGCAAGAATACCAAAAAATCTGTGGGCATTTCAGAGAACTGCTGATGGAAACAGATGGAGATGTTTGCCGAGAAGTGGAAAGGCCTTGGCTGGAAGAAAAACCCCATGTGGGGAGACACCACAGAGGGCTACGAGGACAGTCTGCCCTACAGAAGCGCTTGAGAGCCTTCCTCTGTGAAGAATGCCTCTGCCAATGCCTTCCGTTTTCCTTCTTGTCTGATTTTGTCTTCACTTCTTCTCTATTTCTCTTCCTCCTTACTTGGAAGCAGCAGGAAAAAAGAAACAAAAATAGAAGATGGCTGAGCATGGTTGCAGTTTCACGAGGCAAAGCAGGGCAGTAAGAAATGGCTGCTACACAGAGCCAGATGCCTTAGAGCTTTCTTTGTAGCTGTCTTGTCTTTCGGGGAGTTATCAGTGTGCTGTTCTGTTCTCTGTTAGGAAGACACTGAAGAACAAGTAATTTATGAAGCTATCCTGGAAGTTAGTCGAATTTCCTTCAAACACTCATGCAAATAGCTTGGAAAATAAGAAAAATGCCAACTCATTTTTATTTAAGAATTTCAAATTTAAGGTTTTTGCAGGAGAAAAAATTAGTCTATATTCTACCCCAGCTTTTCAAGAACTTTCAAGTTGCCAGTGCAGGTAAAAGACACACTACCTCAAACATACGATGACAGCCTTCCTTGACCAAGAGTTGTATGTATCTGCCATTTCATGTAACTAGCTATGACTTTGCTACGATGTTGACGAGCAGATACTTGTTGATCTAAGAACACAAGAAATTTAAGCTGGTCAGAAGCTTGCTGGAAAAAGGCCTTTCCTAACTCATCCATTAGGTGGTGCTCCAAGAGTAACTACGGGGAAGGCTTTGCTGCTCTTCAGGAGCTCCAGAAGGAGCAGAAATACCCTTAACTTGTTAGACTTGAAA